ACTCAGAAGGTGACCTCACCCATTAAGAGGTAGAACCATTGTCCCAACCAGGGAACCTGACTCACTTCAGTGGCACAACTATGGCCCCTGGAAGGCTAGCCCTGGGTCTCAGCCCCTGGAGGTTTCAGGATGGGACAGCAGGAAAGTCAGTGACCTTTTGGAGACCAATGTGGCACTCAGTGAGCGAGTCATACTTAACTGGGCTGCTTCGGGCCACTCTTACACACTGGGTGACTTCCTAAGCATCCTAGGACTTGGCTCTTGTGTCTTCCCAAACTCCCCTGAAAGGCCCTCAGGGGTCTTCATGGTGTGGCTCTGTGAACTTTCCTGAAGTCCCCTGCTAGGCTCCTCAGACCCTACCTTCCTTCCAGGACATCCTGGCCTTCTTCCTCCAACCTGGAATGCCTGGGTTGCCATTCTGCATTGGCTGGGTGTATACTTCTAAGTTTGCTGGTTTGTTTTTGAGTAGAGTCTCACTATGTAGCCCTGGCCAGCTTGTAACTGACTTGGAACTCACTATGTAAACTGGGCAGACTTGAACTCAGAGACCTGCCTGCCTCTGCCTCCAAGTAGTATGAGTAAAGGTGTGTGCTACCACATCAGGATTTACTTGTTTGTTTGTTTGTTTGTTTTGACTCTTTGAGACAAGGTGCTGTTATGTAGTACAGCTGACCTCAATTTCAGCCTTCTTGACTTAGCCTCCTGAGTGCTTGGACTATATTGTTGTTGTTGCTATCATTATCATTATTATTATTATTATTATTATTATTATTATTATTATTTGACTTTTAGAGACGCATTTCTCTGTGTAGTCCTCAGCATCTTGGGACTGGCTCTGTAGACCAGGCTGGCCTCAGACCCAGAGATGCGCCTGTCTCTGCTGCCGAGTGCTGGGATTAAAGGCGTGCGCTGCATGCTACCCTACGCTACCCCTGGCGGGATCCCTTTCCTCCTTGCTATCCAGTCCCAGTCAGCCTCCAGGACTCATCCCCACCACCCCCCTTGGCTCTCCGGCTCTTCAAGCTTCTTTGCCTTGGCTTAAAGGATCAGGTGCACTCTGACCTCCAGAATCCTGTCTCCCCTGACCCAGAAGTACCACAGAGACAGTGTGCAGCAGTGCTAAAACCCTGTAACTGTCCCACCCCCACAGGACGGGCACCTGCCAGGCGCCACTCAGCTTGAGATAGACGACAGACAAGACTAAATGGCCCCCAGGAAGGCTAAGCGTTGCCAGGAAGGCGCCGGACACTCCCTCTGGACAGGAAAATATTTTTGTTCCTCCTAATAACAGTCATTAAGGGGCCTGTGCCACACACACACTGCAGCCACGGGCTGAGCTTCAGTGGCTCCCAACACCCTAGGCCAACAGCTCAAGGCCTAGCCCCAAGGCCAGTTCCACCTGTCCACCTCCCGTTGCCCTTTGCCCACTCAGGCCAAGGGGAGGAGCAGCTGTCTTACAGCCTTGGGGACCTAGGTTTGTCATCCACCCGGTTAGTATCAGAATGTCAGGGATGCTTCGGACCATTTTCCTTTCACCTCACCCTCTCATCCTGCCCTTTTGCACTAAGCTGCACACCCAATAACGACAACAAGCCGCATAGTACGAAATTGGAGTCAAGGGCTACCCCACTTACCCAGACTCAGTAACCAAACAAATCTTCACACAGACATGCACAACTAGGTACACACGCCAGCATGCACTTCCAGACAAACACGCAAGCCCACGGGGTGCACGCATACAGTCATAAGCAGGCACAGTTCTGCATGGGTATGAGTGTATTCTCATTTAGATGACAGGAAATTGTCAGCATTCAGCAATTTTTTTTATCTTACAAAAATAGAATCTAGTCAGGCATGGTAATGTTTACCTGTGATCCCAGAACTGGGAAGCAGAGACAGGAGGTTCAGGAATGGAAGGTCATCCTAGGATACATAGTTTTGAGGCCAGCCTGGGCTACGTGAGACCAGTCTCAAAACCAAAAGTATAAACAACCAAACTATCCATCAGTGAATGAAAGCCTGCTCACACATGATACACAATATTCAGCACGCATGCCACATCGTGGATGAAACGAAAGCATTGTGCTAAGTGAAAAGAAGCAGCTCGAAGGAAGACAAATGCACCGTGGTTCTCCTGAGAGAGGTCCCTGAGGCAGTTCATGGAGACCACAAGGAGAGTGGTGGCTGCAAGGACCCAGTGGAGAGGGAGAAACGGAAGCGTTGTTTGTGGGTAGACTCTTGGGTTTGCAAGATGGGGGCTGGAGTGATGGGTGTATTTAATGCCACTCAAGTGCAGTGATGGAAAGGGCAAATTCTGTGTGTATTTTTAACACAAGAAAAAGCAGCGAACAAGGAGTCAGTGAGGCGGCTCAGCAGGTGAAGGAGCCTCGCTGCCAGACCTGACGGCCCGAGTCCAGTCCCCAGGGTCCTCATGGGAGAAGGCGAGAACCAGCTCCTGAAAGTTGTCCTCTGGCCTTCGCGAGTATTCTATGATGTGCACATACCCAATTTAAAAGTGGTAAACAAGATACAGCACTAAAAATATATGCCGGAGGCGCACGCCTTTAATCCCAGCACTCGGGAGGCAGAGGCAGGCGGATCTCTGTGAGTTCGAGGCCAGCCTGGTCTACAAAGTGAGTTCCAGGACAGCCTCCAAAGCTACAGAGAAACCCTGTCTCGGGAAAAACCAAATACATATATATATATATATATATATATATATATATATATGTATATATATATATATATATATATCGGAGACAAACAGGGAACTCAGCAGCTCACCTGCCTGCCTGCCTCTGGGAGGCCTGAACAAATCTCCCCTCAAACCAGTCTAGAGATAAGGTCCTAATGAGGGTTCTCCTTCTCTTGTTGCCCCCGCAGCTCATCACCCTCCCACACTCTGACTTTGTTTACCCAGCTTCTTAACACTCTGATAGTCTATCAACCCCCCAGGCAAGGGCCCCTTAGAGGACCCCACACTCTGGTTTCGATCTGGTTTCTGCCCTGGCACCTGGGATGAAATGGAAACATTTCAGGTCTCATACAATGGCTCCCTACCCCCTGGGTCCCTCACCCCTCTGTCCCATAACCGACCCAGGCTTCCTACCCATCCCTCTCCACACTGAGTTCTCTTTCAGAGGAGCCTGTGTTCTAGATCTGACCATAGAACAGATGAACCCAATTCAGCCATACTGAACTGGGCATATACAACAAGGGTTTAGGGAACCCTGATTTCCTGACACCCTCATCAGACCTCACCCTCTACAGGAGGGTGATAAACATCTGCCCCCCATTCTGCCACCTTGTGTAGTTGCCAAATGATGACCCCTTCTTCAGAGCAAAACTGCTTCCCCATCCTCTGAGGACAGCCCCTGAGTTCCAGAACTCTGAGCCGTGACTCTCGTTGAGGCAGCTGCTCTGTTTCCATTCTGATCTTCCTGTGCATCTGCCCATTCAGTGGACGGGGCCTGGCTCCTCCCCAGCTTCCAGCATCCCTGGAGCTCAGTGTGCTGGAGATGCAGCCGTCTACCTTAGCTCACCACTTTTTTTTTCCCAAGACAGGGTTTCTCTGTGGCTTTGAAGCCTGTCCTGGAACTAGCTCATGTAGACCAGGCTGGCCTTGAGCTTACAGAGATCCTCCTGCCTCTGCCTCCTGAGTGCTGGGATTAAAGGCGTGCGCCACCACTGCCTGGCAGCCCACCACTCTTGATGCACAGGCACTGCTGTTAAAACACTGACTAAAAAGGCAAGTTCCAAGCATGGCTGCTGTTGTGGTTTAGTGGGTAGAATGTCTGTCTGATGAAGCCCTGGGTTAGAACCTTGGCCCTGTGTAAGCTGGGCATGGTGATGCACACTGTAATCCCAGCACTGGGGAGGTGGAGGCCAGAGGACCAGAAATCCATGGTCATCCTTGGCAAGATAGTGAGTTCAAGTCTAGCCTGGGCTACATGAGACTCTGTCTTTTTATTTTATATGTGTTTTGCCAGCATATCTGCATGCCTGGTTCCCACAGAGATCATCAGAGGATGCTAGACCTCCTGGAACTGGTAGTTACAGGTGGTCGTGAGCTACCATGTGGGTGCTGGGAACTGAATGCTGACCTTCTGCGAGAGTAGCAAGTGTTTTTAACTCTGAACCAACACTCCACGTCCAAGACTCTGTCTTAACAAAAAAGGCACACTCCAACTTAAATGAAAACGTCTTTACAAAATCCAGTACCATGTACAATGACTATGTGATGATTAAAAATAGTATTAATAAAATGGGGGGAGGGAGGCAAGCTCTGGACTCTCTGCCAGAATCTCAGAACTGCTGGAATATTCAGCACGGGTGGAGCATGGAAGGTGTGTGTTTAACAGTTCTGGCTTTTCTTGGGGGTCAGAGTGAGAGCTCCGAATCCAGGTGCTTGGAGGATGGGCTCAGAGCTGGGTTGAGGATGTTGTGAGCACCACAGTTTTGGCAGTAGAGAGGGCACGGTGGTTATGGCAGAGGCCCAGACAGGGGACAGATGGGTGTTGATGTTCCCAGAGTTCTCCCACGCTCACTGGGGGTCTAACATGTTTATGGACCAAGGCACGCACACTACCTGTGGTGGTATGTCTCTATGTTATTGCTGGGCACTTACATGTATGAACTTTTAATCTACATCTGCATGCTGGTCATTTGTCTGTGTGTTAGCTTGTGTGTCTTGAGTCATTCATCTACCATGGTGTGTGTGTGTGTGTGTGTGTGTGAGAGAGAGAGAGAGAGAGAGAGAGAGAGAGAGAGAGAGAGAGAGAGAGAGAGAGAGAGAGAGAGAGAGAGAGAGTCAGGGTTGCAGGCTTGTGGCTGTATCCCCTGGAAGGAGTTCCTGGAGAAGAGCCAGCAGCATGCTTTAAGGGCCCGGCACTGCCACTTCCCTGAGCAGGCAAGTCCCAACAGCAGACAGACAGGTGAGGCTGACCTGACAGGTTCCCAAGGCCAGGGGCAATGGGGCGGAGCATGGTTCAGACTTAGGGTGGCAACACTTTGGGGGCCCTGCCATACACACGGGGCTGGCAAGCTGGAGGCCGTAACTTCTTCCTACAGCAGCCAACCCAAGTGCAAGCCATGGAGCTTCAGGTGGGTAGGGCACTAGGTGGATGCACACATCCAGCGGCATAGCGGCTGGAGGGACCCAGGGCATGGCCGGACCCCTGCGGAGCCGAGTGGAGGAGCTAAAGCGGCCCTGGTGGAGGGAGAGCTCCCCCCTGGTGCTCCAGCACAGCGAGGCTGCCAGGCTTGCTACGGATGCCCTTCTGGAGAGGGGCGAGGCTGCCTACCTTCAGGTCATCTCTGAAGAGCGGGAATTGCCCTTCCTGAGTGCCCTGGACGTGGACTACATGACCAGCCATGTGCGTGGGGTTCCCGAGCTCAGCGAGGCCCAGGGGCCGGAAACAGTAGGACATGACCGCCTCAGCATGCTCTCTGAAGTTACCTCAGGCACCTACTTCCCCATGGCTTCTGACTTAGATCCCCCAGACCTGGACCTGGGCTGGCCCGAAGTGCCACAGGCCACAGGTTTCAGCCCCACCCAGGCGGTGGTTCATTTCCAGAGGGACAAGGGCAAGAGCATCAAGGACCTGCTGCGATTCCTCTTCAGCCAGGCCCACACGGTAAGGGCTTTGCCTCTTCATTCATTTCACAGATGTGGCTCGCAGGAGAAGGGGACCAGTTTGCTCCACACAGAAGCTTAAGAGGGACACTGGGACTAGAGTCTTTGACCTCTGCTAGATCTCCAGCTGTTAGAGGGTGGGTGGGTACTTTATTTTCTATTGGCACTCAGGAACATTAATTAAACAAAGAACAGGGCGTAGGGCTCTGGGATGTCACCCCTGGAAGTGCATGGGGAATTACAGGGAGGGGTCCTTATCTTTCTTGGGAGGGAGTCTGTCGCCTTGATCAGATTCTCAAAAAAAAATTTTGTTTAAGATTTATTTATTTATTTTAGAGACAGGGTTTCTCTGTGGAACAGCCCTGGCTGTCCTGGAGCTAGCTCTGCAGACCAGGCTGCCCTTGAACTCACAGAGATCCACCTGCTTCTGCTTCTTGAGTGCTGGAATTAAAGGTGTGCTCCACCACTGCCTGGTTTAAGACTTGTTTTTTTGCTTTGAGTTAAGACTTGTTTTTATTTCATGTTCATGAGTGTTTTGCCTGCCTGCATGTGTGTGTACACCATGCACATGTCTGGAGTCAGTGTAGGACAGAGGAGGGCTTTGAATTCCCTGCAACTAGAGCTAACATATGTGCTGGGAATAGAACCTGGGTCCTCTGGAGGAGCAGCCAGTGCTTGTTCTTACCCTCTGATCTACTTCCCAGACCCTCAAAAAGTTTTATGGTCCCCCCAGACTAAGAACTTAACCATGGTGAACATCTGAGCTACAACCTTGACTTAGAAAGGGAGAAGTTGAGGTCAGAGAGGGACTGGACGTTACCTAGAGAGGTTGACTGGGTCTGGGAGGGAGAGGTCTCTGCCTCTAACCCAGCATGGCTCAGTTTATCTCCAGCTGCCTATCAACCCCCTGTGCTGCACCAACAGCTGGGCTTGAAGCAAGGCTGTGGGCTCTGGCACATGGGTTTTAACATAAGCAAAGCTCTAGTTTAGTGTTAGGAGGACTGCAGAATGGAAGTCACTGAGCTTGGGGACATTAGGGAGGGGCAGTCACACCTGGGAAGCCCCTAACCTCATAGCAGTATGGCTTCACTGGTGGAACCCTGGCTCCTACTCAGATGAGGGAATAGATATGAAAACCCCTGGCAGGGTTTGAGATAGGGGTAGACTCTTGCTGCAGAGATGAAGAGCCAGGATCCCACCAGCACCTCCAAAGCCTTGTTAGCAAGCTTGCCTGTGCCCCAGGCACAGGAGGGCTGAGCTTGATTGGCATCCAGAATGGGGTAATTAGCAAGGTTGTTGCTGTTGTCATCACTGTCCCCCTTTGATCTTTCATGCCTGCTCCCCCCACACTGGCCAGACCTGTGCTGCATATTGGAGAATCTCCAGTGCCCCGCCTGCTCATCTCCAATTAGACTTTTCTGCCCCTGGGCTAAGAGTCAGGCTACTGGGCTGAGCAGTCACTCATTCTCAGAGTGACCTGGGAAGCGTTTTCTTTTCTCAGCCCAGTGTTCTCTGCTTGCTAAGAAGGCAGCAGGAAAGGGGGAAGGCATGGCTATTGAGCTACTTTGGTGTGTCCAGTCCAGCGTTTTCACATGTGTCCCTTGTAACTATGAGATACATTCCATTTAGCAGACAAGGAGGCTGAGGCTCCCTAGGTGAGCCCAAGACTCTACTTCTAAGAAGTAGAGGAATATGGATTTGGACCCACTTCCTTTTGGCTCCAAGCTGCAGTGGTAGGCTCTGTCCCCCCTGATCCTAGGCCCTGCGTAGGACAGAAGACTCTCACAGTACACACACAGCGGGAAGAAGGGGCAGCTGCAGGCTTAAGGAATGCCCTGTATGTTGGAGCACACGCCTCAGCCCCTCAAGTGAGCGGGAAGCTTGGATCCAATTAGCACAGGCAGAAGTAAAGGAGGCTGTGAATATAAGTTATCACACCAGATCTCTGCAGCTTCCAAAGCAAATGAGGTTTGGAAAAACAAACAAACAAACAAAACACAGAAATCCCTGGTACTGGATTGCAACTTTCTCCTGTGTAGGAGAGCCTCAGGAAGTCCCTAGACCAAAGGAGAGCTGGTGCCAACATGGGGAACCAGCCTGGAAACTGGGGTCTGCTTCTGACTCCTGGCTTTTCCAATTCTCCAAAGAGCAGAGCTTTAGACTAACATAGTTGATCTAGAGATATCTTTGAAAATCTGTTACGATGCCCATAGAAAAATTCCTCAAAGGCTTTCAAACAACCAGTGGTTCAAGACCATCAATTCTCCCAGTGCCCAAGTTAAGGCAGGCACAGTGACACACTCCTCTAACCCCAGTGACCAGACCAGCTTGGATTACTGGGTTACAGAATGAGACCCTGTCAAAAAAAAAAAAAAAAGAATAGAATCTGATTCTGATTTGCATCCTGGCTTTCAACCCCATACTTTGCCTGGGGCTGAACTTCCCCTGCGTCCTTCAGGTGGTGGCTGTGGTGATGGATGTATTCACTGACATGGAGCTTCTGTGTGACCTTATGGAGGCCTCCAGTCGCCGTGGTGTCCCAGTCTACCTCCTCCTGGCTCAGGAGCACCTGAATTACTTCCTGGAGATGTGTTATAAGATGGACCTCAATGGAGGGCACCTGGTGGTCAGTATGGGCTGAGAGCTTCCACTGTGGAAAGACGGGGAATTGGGAGCGTAGGAGGGTCAGCTGGTGGTCAGTGAGCATGGGGGTTGGTCAGTGGGCGTGGAACACATGGTTCCTTTTAACTGTGTGGGACCAGACACCCCTTAGGTCACAGACATAGCCTGAGCGCCACTTTTCTTCTTTTGTTTTTCAATGTATCTTTATTTTAAATTATGAGAGTGTGTGTGTGTGTGTGTGTGAGTGCAGATGCTCATGGAGACCAGCAGAGGGCGTCAGACTGCCTTCGTGCAGGCGTCATAGGGAGCAGAAAGAGCTGGGACTAGAACTGAAGTCCTCTCAAAGAGTGCTCTTAACTACTGAGCCATCTCTCCAGCCCGAGCTCTGCTTCCTTAAGGCCACCCTCCCACCAATTTCCCTCTGCTCTTGGCCCAGAATATGCGCGTGCGGAGCACATGCGGAGACACGTACTGCAGCAAGGCGGGCCGGCGATTCACCGGGCAGGCGCTGGAGAAGTTTGTCATCATTGACTGTGAGCAGGTGGTGGCAGGCAGTTACAGGTGAGATGGTCGAAGGGAGGGAAGCCTGGGGGCTGTGCCATGATCTGGTGAGGGCATCTCAGACCTTCCCACTTTGAGTTTCTTCCATTCATCCCTTCAAACATGTCCTAGGCACCTGCTGTGTGCTAGGGACCAGGCAGGGCAAGGGGCAGATGGGAGCCCATTCTACTTAATGCCTTGGCATAGAAAGCAACTACTGCACATGGGAAATAGGAGGACTTTGGAGACCCTCGTCCCCGACCCTGCTGAGCCCCGGACTCTGTGCTTTGACTCCTGACTCTGTCCCTCTGTCCCCAGCTTCACCTGGCTTTGCAGCCAGGCCCACACCAGCATGGTGCTGCAGCTGAGAGGCCACATTGTGGAAGACTTTGACCGGGAGTTCCGATGTCTGTATGCCGAGTCACAGCCTGTGGAAGGCTTCTGTGGCAACGAGGATCCACTGTCTTCCCGGGTACCTCGTCCTCCCCCTGTGACCCTGGCCTTTGGACCTGGAATTCCAAGTGCTACGGGCTCCTCGCCCTCCAGTAACAGCCTCGGCAGCATCAAGCATTCGCCTTTTCTGGGCCGTTCCTCCTATCTTGCTCTACCAGGAGGTGGTGGCTGCAGTGACACAGGGATGGCGTCCTCATCCCCAGGTCCTGTCCACCATGAAGCCGGTGGCCCACCATCCCTGTACCGTCAGCTTTCAGATCCTAACCATAGCTCAACTCCTGGACCCTACAGGGCCAACCTGAGCAAGCTGGGGGCGTCTCCATGGTCCCAGTCCTCTCCTGCCCTCAACCACTGTAGTGCCAGTCCCTTGACCCTGGCGGTGGGGTCACCTCTGCTCCCATGTTCCCACCCCCTTCTCCACTTTACTAGGGGAGTCTCAGCACTGTCCGGGCTTCCAGAGAATGGGCTCCCAGCAAGTCAAGCGCTCATCCTTCCGCGAGGTCGCTGGGTACCTGGCACAGCTCTGGAGACAGTGGAAGAGAAGAAGGTATCTCTGAGCCAGAGCCATGATCACCTGGATCGAATTGTCCCCTTCCCTAAAGCAGGAGAAGCAGGAGGCCCCAACTCTAGAGTTACCCCCAATTTAGGTTCCCTTCAGCATGGTGAGCAGGCCCTAGAGGATAGGAGATTGTCCCTGAGCCACAGCTACAGCCAGCTGGATCTCCTGTCCCAGGGTCTGGATGCCCCTGAGTCAGGCTCCCTCAGACCTGGTGATCTGGGTCTAGAGGACAGGAAGCTGTCCTCAAACCACAGCCATGGCCAGTTGGACCTCCTGCCACAAACCCCCAAGGCCCAGGCCTCTAAAATACCCCCTGATGCCAATTCTTCTGTCAGGCCTGGCAAACAGAGTCTAGATGAGCGACGGCAGACTCTAGGCCACAGTCAGCTGGACCTCATCACCAAGTTTGGCCCATTCCGGAGTGAGGGGCCTGGACCCAATGGTCCCCCAGAACCAAACCCAGTTCGCATGGCCGGAGTAGGCTCTGCAGATGAGAAGAGGCTGACTCTGGGCCACAGCAAACTGGACCTCATCACCAAGTATCATCAACTACAGGGTGCCAGGCAGAGACCTGAGCCAGGACTCCCGGGAGCTCCCATGAGTGGCCATCAAAATGGTAGTAGCAATGACATATTTGCACCCGAGAAACGGCTGACCTTGGGCCACAGCAAACTGGACCTCATCACTAAGTACAACAAGTCCAAATTCAAGCAGCTCCGAAGTCGTTTTGAGTCCTAACTCTGCTCCTAGCAAGGACAGAGCCTCCCTCCATCCACAGAGAGCTGGCATGTTCAGGTTCAAGACTGTAGCATGACAGTATAAAGCTGGGACACTCCATGAGGAAGGGAGGCATCTAGTAGCTCAGGTCAGATACTCCCTGGACTCAAGACTTATACACACATGCATAGGCATACATACAAACAGCCCAGAGGTACTGAGTGTTTCCTGTATGTCACTGGGGCTGGGCATTGCACACTGGTTATTCTCACCCTCCGTATCCTCTAGATGGATCTCTTGTTGGCATATAGCTATACTAAGTATTATTCTCCACCCCTGGTTTGTTTTGTTTTTGAAACCAGACATTTATTTTATGGCTGCCTGAGACCCTCAAGAATGACTGGATGCTGCAGCAGCTGTCATCTTGGGCTTCAGTGTCGTTGGTTTTTGCCCCCCCCCATCCATGTCTGAATCTGAAATAGACAATTTTTAGGCACCTCTTCAACCTAGTCCCAGGAGTGTTTCACCTCGTGGCCTTGGCACTTTGGTTATACTTCCTCTTGCATTGGCAATGGAGCCACATCCGTAACAGGTCGACCTGAGAGCCGTAGTGAAGGTACAACGTGTGCATCTTATTGTGACGCCTTCCAAAGGAGGACGTTTCTTTCCTCATGTTCTTTCTGCCACAGAGGCCAAAGAGCTGTTTTAAAAGTATGGGAGCTGAAGTCCAGAGTTTGGATGGTTAATTTGGAGGTAGATCCAAGTAAATGACAGGGTAGGGAACTCTGCCAGTCCAGTGGCCCCTGGCTTTAAATATGCACTTTGCACAGACCCACAGTATCTGCAGTTCCCGTGTCACTATGTATTTAAAATGCAGACACTGCAAGGATGCCCCAAGTGCCCATATAGTAGACATAGAACAGTGATTAGGTACACCCATAGCATACAGTGAGTACACAGAGCTCTATGTGATTGAGTCAAGCAGAACTTTAGTTGCAGGGACTTAGTCTTGTCTGCCTAAATGAATGGCCACAGAAAATACATGCATTCAATACACACTGCAGAACCCCCTCGAGGTTCACAAACCATAAATACACATATGAGCCCCATCCCAACTTATAAAGCCCTGCCCTGAACATGCCACAGGGCTGCAAGACTGCTTAGATGCGGATCCTGAGGGTTGCAGCTTGAATGCATAAACCATGGGAAACAAGGCAGAGCTGTATCAAACAGAAAGTGTCCTAGGGACAGAGGGCCATGGAGTTGGTGGACTGACCAGGGAAGTCTACCAGAGAGAAGCTGACTTACAGGCAGGTCCTGAAGGATGGGGTTATCGACAGAGGCAGATGGGGAAGAGAGTTAGAATTGTTGGTGGAGTCAGTCAGATAGAAATGGAGTGATCCAGGGAAGATAAGCAGAACATGTGGATGGACACTTAGACACATACACACACACACACACACACACACACACACACACACACACACACACACCACACACACACACAGAGGCCACTTGCTGAATGTCTCTTGAAGCTCAGGCTGCAGCTGGTCATGGGCCTTTCTCTTGAACTCACCACCTGCCTGAGACAGGGCATGGTACAAATAAATAAAGGCAGATATGGTTAGAGCCAGTAGCAACCTGGTGTGTTCTAAGTTGTGGTGTTACAAGATGGGGTTGGAGAAAGGGCAACATTCAGGCCCTTTTCGGATTAGTAGGGTTCCTTGGGAAGAATGGAAGGCATAAAGAGGGTCTGAGGTAAGGGGTTCTTAGCGTCTTCCTTCCCTTCCTTGCTGTGGCATTCTGAGACACCCTCAGCCAGATTTATTCTGCGTATGAGAATGGGCCACACCACTAACCCTAGGATAGATGGTGGTTGCTGGCGCGCGCGCGCGCGTGTGTGTGTGTGTGTGTGTGTGTGTGTGTGTGTGTGTGTGTGTGTCTGAGAGAGAGAGAGAGAGAGAGAGAGAGAGAGAGAGAGAGAGAGAGAGAGAGAGAGAGAGAGAGTGCTGTAAGAACACATCAAGGAAGACAAGTCAGAACTCACTCTTCAGTCTCTCCAACACCCAGCTTCACACATCTCCCCCTCTCCAATATCTTCTTCAGCCTGTTTTTTTTTATGGCTCTCGGCATGCCTCCTCCAACCACTTTGTCCTGGTCTCGTTTCTCCCTACTGGACACTCTGCTGAGTGATCCTTGCCCCAATCCTCAGCTCCTGCCTCTCCCCTCTGCTTCAGATTCACATTTCCATCGGCATGGTCAGGTTGGGATCATCTCCTTTCCCAAACCTGCCCCTTCTCCGGCCTTATTCGGTAAACACATCCCTCATCAATCCATCCTCAGCCAGACAGCACTGGTTCCTCTTTCCCTAGACATTCTCATCTGCTCAGTCTCAGGTCTGGTTGATAATTCCCTCTAAAAAGACCCAATAGGGAGAGAAACCCCCGGGAAAGCCAGAAAACGATCCGGAGGCGGGGTTGGGGGGAGCCAAGCCAAACCACTAGCGACCATAGAGTCCTCCTAAAGGGTGGGGTTAGAGAGGCCGCATGCTTGGCTTGGCTCCCGCGTGCTCCCGGAAGCCCGCCTGGGAGGAGGCGGAAACGGAAAGCTAGTTACGGGAGAAGTAGTTGCAGCGTGTGGGGATTGGAGTCGTTTGGTGAGCTGGTGGGACGCGGGGCGGCGAGGCTCAGTTCCGGGCCTCGAGGCGGGAGGATTTGGGGCAGGAGAGCCAGGAGGGATTCCGTGGGCGCGACCCGAGGCCTGAGGGGTCTGAGAGGGCGGGGTCTGAGGAAGCGAGCTGGGCTGACCCGGCTCCTGAGAGGGTCTGTCGTCCCAGAGCCAGCAGTCACGCAGCCCCCAGGCTTCCATGGCGGTCAGAGCGTCGTTCGAGAACAACTGTGAGGTCGGTTGTTTTGCCAAGCTCACCAACACCTACTGCCTGGTGGCTATCGGAGGATCAGAGAACTTCTACAGGTGAGGCCAGAGCTCCTGGTCCCGTGGGGGCGGGAAGGGACGGGATGCCGGGAGCGAGAGGTCCGGCAGAGGGAGGGACCCCGGTAACCAGAGACTCATGTTTCAACAGTGTGTTCGAGGGCGAGCTCTCTGAAACCATCCCGGTGGTGCATGCATCCATCGCCGGCTGCCGAATCATCGGGCGCATGTGTGTAGGTAAGGCAGGTGGAAGACGCCGAGGGCCGAGTGGAGCCTCGAAGCACTATGACTCAATCATTAGCTCCCGGAGCTTACCCCAGAGATCCGGGGATCTCCGTGGACTCTGGGATCTTTCAGGGGTGGGTGGGACGCACTCTAACGGCAGAGCAGGCACTGTAACACAGACTTCCCGAGAATAGTCATAGCAAAGCCGCGTTAAGTGCCTTCAGTCTTGATCGCGTTTTCCCTCCTCAGCGATGCTGAAAAGGAGGGGCTGCTCTAGTTTGACTCTTGAGGAAACTGACACTGAGAACTATGTGACTCACCAAGTTCCACTCCCAGATGAGTGAACCTCATCTCTTTCCTGCCTCTGATTATGGACAAATTGCTTTCATGTGTTTCATCACAATAACTAAGGCTCCCAGGTCATACTGTTCAGCTCCATTTACATCTTACATTCTCTAAATACATCTCTTACACTTTTACCGGTAGGCACTGCTGACCAGCCTCCAACTTTTTTTGTTTTTTTTGTTTTGATCCTCCCGAGTTGGCCTCAGCCACATTGCCCCTGTAGCTGGGAATGGCCTAGAACTCCTGATACTCCTGCATCCACTTCCCAGGTTTTGGGATTAGCATGTGTATGCCACCATGCCTAAGCATTTAGCCTGGCTCTGTGCCTTCGCTGACACTCCCTTTTTTTGGTTCTGCATGTTAGGGTTATCCAGACACTTTTTTTAAAGTGTTAAGCATGAATGATGACTCTACGTAGTTTCTTATTTACTTCAGTACTCTGATCTTTAATAATAAAAATCCTGACCTTTAACCGTGCTCTTAGGATAGGAATCAAATTCTGATGTGATAGGGGAGCTCTTAGCCTGGTCTTTGCTCTGTTTTAATGAAAGTAACTTGAAGTTCAGAACTGTGGCTCCTAATCCTAGGCAGAAGTTTTTGTAACAATAACAAGTATTTAGACAATTTTTAGTTTGGTGTTTCAGGAATAGTCACTCTGTAAATATGAACATATGTACAAGTGCTCTTTTGGATATATAATACCTATGGGTGGAATGAAATAGTCACAGGGTGTGTGGCAGTTTAGTGTGGTGGATGGTTACAGTAATTATCTGGAGTAGATAGCCATTGCACACTTCTGTCAGAGCATAGTTTTAGTCGTTCCATATATTATTGCTATCACTTGATGATCTTTGAAAATTTTAGCTGTTCAGGTAGGTGTGTAATATTAACAAAACATAATGCCAAGTGCCTTCCTTGCTAGTCCTGCCCTCACCCCCAGTTAATGATGAGATGGTAATGTTGGGATAGATTCCTGGCCATCCGAGGCCTTTCCGGGGGACCCAGGGTTCATATATGCATCTGTAGGTCAGGTCTTTAGCTCTGAGCTCTCCTAGGAAAGTTAATTGGGCTAGAATGGGAGATATCCCAGGAAGCATTTCTTTATCCCACCTTACAATTTTGCTCTCTCCAGGGAACAGGCATGGGCTACTGGTACCCAACAACACCACAGACCAGGAACTGCAGCATATCCGCAACAGCCTTCCAGATTCAGTGCAGATACGGCGGGTGGAAGAGCGGCTCTCAGCCCTTGGCAATGTTACCACCTGCAATGACTATGTGGCCTTGGTCCACCCAGACTTGGACAGGGTGAGGTGACAGCCTGGTCTGGAAGTTACAGGACTAGCCTAGCTAGTGGTTAGCCATTATTCCCTCAAGGCAGGAATTACGGGTTTCATTTGTGTATTTTCTTAGTTATCTCAGCACTCAAGTTTCTTACTTTCATAGTAATACCAAGGCCTTTGTGTGTCAGTATCAAGCTGGGTAGAGCATTAATCCTTCAGGTTTGGGGAGATTGGCCTATTCAGTCTTGGCCATGGGCCATGATGGTTGGTTGACAGTTGAGTAGGGTATGTATTAGTGAAAAGTGTGACATGGAGCCAAGAGTGATGTCTTTCAGGGCTTGCTTAGGTTTTAGGGGCTCCAGACTGAGCCTAGATTCTTAGCCATGCCCGTGTCTTGCTCAGTGAGGCTTCCATGTGCAGATGTATAGTAAAAAGGGACTCAGGGAACCAAGTCTGGTTTGCTTAGAGAACCCCTGGATATTTGGCCTACATGTTCTGGATCCTGGGCACAGTACCTTTGTCCAATAGGAAACAGAAGAAATCCTGGCTGATGTGCTCAAGGTGGAGGTCTTCAGACAGACAGTTGCTGACCAGGTGTTAGTAGGGAGCTACTGTGTCTTCAGTAATCAAGGAGGTCTGGTGCACCCCAAGACTTCAACCGAAGACCAGGACGAGCTGTCCTCCCTTCTTCAGGTTCCCCTTGTGGTAAGCATTCCTGCTTTCTGACCCGCCTACTGGATGTAATCCCTTTTGTCCGTCCTTGGGAGTCTGGGTCATTACCTTCCTTAATTTGGGATTGGGGCCTTGAGACCTGGAAGGGACCTTGGGAGAAGAGTCCTCACATGACTTCTGCTGAGCTCACACCTCTGCAGGCAGGCACTGTGAACCGGGGGAGCGAGGTGATTGCTGCTGGGATGGTGGTGAACGATTGGTGTGCTTTCTGCGGTCTGGACACAACCAGCACGGAGCTGTCAGTGGTGGAGAACGTCTTCAAGCTGAACGAGGCCAAGCCTAGTACTATTGCCACCAGCATGCGGGATTCCCTCATTGACAGGTAACTTCGCTGTTGTTTTGTTTGTTTGTTGAGACAGGGTTTTCTGTGTAACCCTGACTGTCCTGGAACTTGCTCTGTAGGTTAGACTGGCCAGGAACTCAGAGGTCCACACTGCCCCTGCCTCCCAAGTGCCAGGATTAAAGGCATGTGCCACTATGCCCGGCTCACTTTGTCTTTGAGGGGAGAGGAAGAAGATGCATCCTTGAAGACAGCCATGTTGTGTTTGTTTTTCCCAAATGCGAGAGTGAAAGTGCATCCTGACTTAGAGCCACAAATGTTCCTTGGCGTCTTCTTTGGAGACTGGGCTTTGTAGGCAGGCCTTTCCTGTGACCATCTCACTTGATCATGGCTGTGTTTTATATTTGTATTTGCCTGTGGCCACTGTCTCCAACTAGTGGCCTAAGCCCTGAGATAGAAAAGATCAGTTGGCTAGGGAAGGTGAGAAGGCTCCTCTTAATTACTGAGACAATCCCAGATTGCTAAGGTTGCTCTTAAAAATAGGCTGCAGGTGTATTTTGTATGGAAATCATGGTTTAGACCAGTGGTTTTTGGGGGGTTTGTTTGCGGTTTTTTTTTTTTTTTTCATCTGGTTTTTGTTGTTGTTGTTTTTTGAGACACGGTTTCTCTGTGTAATAGTCCGGGCTGTCCTGGCATTCGCTCTGTAGACCAGGCTGGCCTCAAACTCACAGAGATTCACCTGCTTCTGCCTCCCAAGTGCTGGGATTAAAGGCTCACACCATCACCACCTGGCTCTTGTAGATGGTTGTGAGCAACCATGTGGTTTCTGGTGCTTGAACTCAGGACCTCTGAAGAGCAGCCAGTGTTCTTAACCTCTGAGCCATCTCTCCAGGCCAGACCAGTGGTTCTTAACTTGTGGGTCTCAACCCCTTTGGAGGTTGAATGACCCTTTCCCAGGATTGTGTATCAGATATCTTGTATATCAGATAGTTACATTATGATTCATAACAGCAAAATTACACTTCTGAAATAGCAATGAAAATAATTTTACGGTTTTGGGGATGGCCACTACAACATGGGGATTATTAGAGGGTCACAGCATTAGGGAGGTTGGCAAACACTCTTCTAGGCGTCTGTGGATTACAAAGCCAGCCAGGCTGGGCATGGTTGCTCACTCTCATCACTTGGGAGGCTGGACCGAGAATTGACTTTTCTCTGGAAGAGCAGCAGGAGCAGATGCTGGGTAGTTTGACCTCCTTTCTGTCAGCCTGCCAGGGACCTTTCTTAAGGCTTGCCATACCTAACTACACCTCCATGAAGATAGAAACACAAAAGTGACAAGTAAACAGATCTTTGCTTACCATGGAAGGACTTTCCCTTTATCCCGTTGCCTTTGCTTCCACTGATGCCCTTGGATGAGGCTGCATGGAGGTAATCAGGGAGTGTAGTTCTATATCCTGAGGGGTTCATGGTGTACATGCAAGATAGAGTTGCTATATGTAACTTAGCCGTTAATCGAGAAACAAACAGTTCCTTGATTGTTCGCATATGGGCAGCTTGTGAAACTGGTGGGAGATTTTCTGGGATTGTAGAAATTTCATGAGTGATATTTAGTCTGTTTCCAGGGATGAGGGGGTGTTTAAATATGGAGAAGAGAGCGAGGAAGAACCTCATACAGATAGAGATGGGAAAATACTGCGTATGTGAAGGAGGCTAAGGGCTTTAAATTTCAGCATCAGGAAGTTTTGGTTGTTAGCCTGAAATTTTGAGCTTTAGTGGATGTTAGGTTGCTTGTTTATGTAGACTCTTAATGTAATCTCTCAGAGGTTCTGACTGTAGGTGGAACACAGTCTAACACTGTTGAGTTCTTTCAAAGGTAGTGATACAGGCTGGTGATGTGCTGTGACTAGAGGTGTGTGCCACCACACCTGGCTATGTGCATGTGTTTTTACATAAGCTACTTTGAGAAATTCTGATGAGGACATTTGGTACTCACACTGACTAACTTTGCTGTCAGAGCTGGTGAACAATTGAGAGTTTATGCACTCTAGGCAAATGCTGTACTGTTGAGCTACACCCAGCCTGAGAAGTTATTCAACAACGTTTTACGTGACAGATCGTATTAATGGGATTAGAACACACCCTGTCCTTTGTTTGGAACATGGAATTGTGTAAGGAGACAGTGACAGTCATTAAAGAACAAAAACTTCGTAGTAACAATTGAAAAGAAGTTTCTATAACCTAATAATACCTATCAAAAAAACTATAGCACAATACTGTCAATTATGGAAACTGTATTAAAGTTAAGCAGAGCTGCTAGCCACTGGTCAGTGTGTTCCTGGTAGTCCTTGTCTGTGCTGTTAGACAATAGAAAGAAAAGGGTATTGGGAAGCAAGGGAAACTTGATTAGTCCATTAGGTGCCCATAAGACTTCGCAATGAAGATGCCACATTGGCATGGGAGGTAGTATAGTGAGTGGGTAAAGTCCTTGCTGTGCAAGCAGCATTCCCAGCCCCCACATAAAAGCTGGGCTCTGTGCCACATGTCTGTAACTGCAGTGCTGAGGCTCACCGGCCAGTCAGTCAAACAGAATTGTGAGCTCCAAGTTCAGTGAGAAACCCTGCCTCAAAAAATAAAGTGGAGAAGCAACTGAAAAGACACATGACATCAACCTCTATACGTGCCTGCATACACAATAAGTGTTCCAGTCTCATTAAGAGGCAGTGACGGCACCTTCAGTAAGAGTGATCTCACTTAATCCTTGTAGAGCAGATCTGTTTTCCAGTCTACTGTTTGTGACCTTTGCATCAGCTCTAATAGGGAGTCTTGGAAAAGAGACCAAAGGTTGGCCTCAGTCTGGCCTCTGAGGGGCTGGTCCAAGCACATCTCCTCACTGACCTTCCTGGCTTTATCTCTTATGCTCAGAGCCTGAGGTTATGATCAATAACGGGATAAAATGGAGAAAGGTGGCCCAATGAGAAAAGAATTGATTTTACTTTTCAAATATGGAGAGTTTTAGGCTAGACCTTGATATACAAGATTTAGTTAAATCTGAAACCTTGGTGGGGACAGGTGTGGTTCTGAGTATGAGTTTTCAGTGACTGAACTAGAACAGGTCTAAGGGTGGGGCAGCATGTACCTGTAAAACAGCTACTGATAATACACTCTTCTCTGCAGCCTCACATGAGTCACCTTCCGTGCTGCTGTGTGGGCCCCTGCCTCTGGACTTTGGCTCCTTTTCCATGCCTGAGCTAGTATGTACCAAACGCTGGCAGCAGGGCATGGCAGAGAGCTTACCAGAGCTGAATGGTGAGCGCCCAACCCTTCTTCACCTGTGCCGTTGTGACTATTCTAGAAAGGCTTGCCGTGTCATGCTGGCTTTCAGTTCCTGTGACTCCTGATGAGAACTCTGTCCCACCCCATTAAAGACCTGCCTCCCACCTTGCTCGGTGTGCTGTTTGTTCTTCTGGGGTCCTGGGGAAGGCGGGTGCGATTGGCATGCAGTGCTTCCCCTCAACAGGACGGGAGACCTGAGGGTGTGATGGGGCACACCTTTAATCCCGGAGGCAAAGGCAAGTGGATCTGTGAGGTCGGGGCCTGCCTGGCTACATAGAGAGTTCTAGGTCGACCAGAATACACAGTGAAACCCCATCTAAGAAAAGAACAAGAGGAAGCAGTGATGCCCTCCGGAATTACATTTTAGCCCAGCCTCAGAACGAAGAGTCACTCATCTTCCCCCTGTGATGCCACAGGCACACAGCCTCAGTGTGTAATATCCCCGGCTGACCTTGGAGGCCAGGCCGCCGCCTGTGGTTGGCTCCAACAGCGGGCGTGGGGCGGGTCCTAGGCGTGCCTGGCCAGTCGACCAACCCCTCCTGAGCTCAGTGGGCCCGCCCCTGGCGTGCGAAGGCTTTTCTAGGACTTGGCTGCGTCATAACGCTGCTCCTCCCAGGCCAGGCTGCCCCGGCTGCGCGCTTCCGGCAGATCCGCTTTCACTTCGCTGACTGAGGTGAGGGCGGGGTAGGGTGTTGGTGGTAGGTGGGGTGTCACCTGCTCTGGCCTGGTGCCTGATGGATTTCTGTTACAGACCATGGGCGCTCTCCTGAGTGGTGGCCAGGAAGGCCCGGAGCCCGCGCAGCCCCAGCCTCCAGCTCCGGAGGGTCCGCAGCAGCCTCAGCCTGAGCCCAGCCCCTGGGGACCACTGGATGATGTGCGATTTCTAATCGCCTGCACATCCTGGTACTGACCAGGTTACCCCTGGCCTCCGTGCCCTCTTGGGCCTGGCCTGATTTTTCTCCCCTGACCCCATGATATCCCGTCTGTCTCACTCAGGGGACTGATGGGAACCTCAGACTTGTTCCCTTCCTTACCAGCCCCTAAGCCAGATCACCCCCAAGCCGTTTTCCAGCTCTGTCCTGAGGCAACCTTCCGGAACCAGAAGAACCAGGACCAGATGCAGGCCTCCTGGCAGGATCCCGATGCTGTTGAACTCTGGTTCCCCCTACGCTGGAACTGGGCTGCTGCAGGTGTCGCAGGTCATGGTCCTGTGTGCTCTGTCTCCAGAGAAGCTTGCTAACAGTGACCTCCCATACTCATACTAGGGGGAGGACATCTGACTGCTGGTTAGCACATGCTTGAGGCAACTGCAGAATTCCCCAGTGCACCCGTTTTCCCCGAAGCTTCTTAAGGGCACACTTAGGCCCTGGTCTTTGTTCCTGTACTCCAGGGAAAAGACACTGTATTTCTGTTTTATTTAGAAATGATTTAAAAAACATTATACAAAGGCTGATCAGTTTAAAATGTGACCGACACTGAAATGCGGTGATGTTACCCAGGCTGAGGGGAAGCTGAGCTCTGCGGCCCGGTGCTTTGCCCCTCTGACTGCTCTGGCCTGGGGTGATGGACAAACAGATGACTGCAGGCAGAAGAGTCCAAGATTGGAAGCCTTAGGCTGAGCCCTCTGGGCCCCGCCCTGCACCCCTCACATCTGCAGTCTGGGCCGCCTGCCTCCATCCCCTGCTCGTCCTCATCTGGTCTTGGAGTACCAGGAGCCAACAGGGGGCCTGCGGGGCCTGGAGCTTTCAAGAAGTGAGCACCAACCTGAGGAGACGGACCAGGAAGTTGGGGGAGGGGGCCCAGATGAGAGGAATAGAAAAGACATTTACCTCAGACCCAGCCAGGGCCGCTTGGATGGCAGGGGCGGATAAGGCCTCCCTGTGCTTCTAAGGGCAAGATGAGTACTACCCTCAGCCTCTCAGGGCCTTCATGTGAGTGGACAGGTGTGAGCTAATAAAGTGCTTGGCAAAGTATAAAACACTGTACAAACCTATGAATCACTAAATCTCTGCAGTTGTTCCCCGCCTGCCCCAGGGAGCCTGCCCTTGGCCGAAATGAGAAAAAACAGGATGATGATGTGGACACAAGGGACCCAGATAGATTCTGGGACAATAGATTCTACTCAACAGCTCCCAGGGCAGCGAGAGTCCCTGTCTGTGCTACAGGGTAAGCTGACCCAACTCCCAGAGGCCACAGGGCTGGGCAAGGCCCATGCAGGCTCAGAGGGCAGGGTTGGTATCGGTGACCCACTAGCACCAGGAGCTTGCATCTTACGCTTTTGGACTTTGGCAGAGAGCCAGTGAGTATCACTGAACCCATTGGTCTTGCCTGAAGGCAAGCATGACTGCCAGACTGGAGCAAGTCAAGCCAAAACCTAGGAACTCCTGTCAGAGTGAGGAAGGGCCTCAGGTTTAAAAAGAAGGAGAAGGAAAGATGGGGTAGGGAGTGAGCTTGGGGCTGCTGCCAGCTAGGAGAACCCTTTTCCTAAGAGCAGTGCCGGAAGATGGGCCCAGTGAGCTAGGCTGCCAGGGTCAAGACCAGAGCACACACAGCATCTCCAGGCCAGGAGACTGAGTTGCCTCAGGGTCCCTGGGGATGCGGATGGAGCACTTAGAAGGCTGCCCTGGTCCTTTACTCTGAGGCTATGACAATGGTGGCTCTAGAGCCGTCTCTGCTTCACATAACTAGTCAGGCTGAGCCCCCATGCCACAAAAGATGGCTTGGAGCAGGGTGGAGGACGGCATTCATGGAAGAGGAGGAGAGGATAGTCAGAAACTTGGATCTGCCTCCAGAATTAGGGTCAGCTCCCGCCCTGGCTGTTGAGCCTCCTGAACAGGACCCCTGCTAGTATCAAGATCCTAGAGTGGCCTTTGCAAAATGGGACTTTGAACAGTAGTGACAGGACATTTAAATATTCACGACATGACAGCAGGGTCCTTGTGAGACCCAGCTGGGCCACAGCCTTGCCTGCAGCATGTGACCCTAAACCCTGGGTCTCTCAGGGGAGACCTGACAAGTGGATCAGGTTTCCTGAGGAATCTGCTATTGACTAGCAGGGGAAACCCAGGCTTTTGCCCACTGTGTTGGCAGCAGGGGCACTGCAGCCTTGGAGGATAGTGGGGTAGGGGCTAGGGGACATCTGACCAGCAGGTGTTGGCAGAGGGGACTGGGATTGGCGGCATCTCGGGAAAGGGTTGAGGTGAGAGCTAGTGCTGGCTTGCCTTAGAGGGCTGGGTCCCGGCCAGGCCTGGCGCTTCGGTACTCTGCAGACACCACAGGATGCAGTGACCTCAGGGGCACCTCCTGGCATGATCCTTGCCTCCTGACAGGGCCTGGCCTATTCCCTTGAGAGTGGTACGCCAGCTACCCAACCTGGGGCACAGCCACCATCTCTCCCTGCCCCACACAGCCTAGACCAATGCACCCACCACTTCAGCGACACACGAACCTGGCCTAGGGCCCTGCTGGCCCCGGTGGGCAGTGGCTAGAGCTGCCCCCTCAGACCCTGGTGAGGAAGGGCCTGGCTGGCCAGACTGGGTAGACAGAGAGGGCTCTGGGCTGCTCATACCCACTCCTGGACTGGCCGCTTATAGTAGGTGACGGGCTGAGGACCCGCCTTGTTCTTGAACTGGAAGATAGTATAGAGCAGCACCAGGAGGCAGAGGGACAGGGTGCAGGGGACAACCACAGCCACAGCGTTCACGGAGCCTGGCACATCATCGATGGTCACCATGATGTCCACATCATCCTGGGGCAGCCTCCGCTCCTTCCGCCGCTCCACCTCCTTCTGCTTGCAGCCCATCCAGTCACGCAGGATGTTGCGTGGGTAGCCTGGCTCCACACTCAGTTTCTGGTTGTCAAACTTCCAGTAGTCGCGACCTTTGTAGAAGTAGGTGTAATCTGCAGAAACAGGAAGGACTCAGTACCACCACTCCCAGATGTCCCCAGCACCTACTCTGGACTAGTGTGGACCTGGGTTGATGTGCCCGTGGGTAAGAGAGATGTTCCAGAGTGGCCTTCTGGAACGGAGGTGGCTGGGTGAGCACAGTGTTCCGCTGATTGCACTGTAGCTAACACAACTGAGACAGGTTCCCAGGACATAGAGAATCCCACTTGTTGGTTCAAAGGGGCTGGGAAACCACTAAGGGATTTTTGAATAGAGCTGGCAAATGCTTTAATTAATACTGCTCAGGCCGGATGATTCTTAGTCTGGAAACAGCTCTGTCACACTGTGTCCCCAGGCTTCCTTATAGATCAAGCCTCCAGCTTAAGGCTTGGGCAGTGCAATCTCCATAGCTCTAGTGCCTCGGTCTAACTCTTGCCCCAAGCCAATGGGAATTGAGCGAAATTTCATCTTAGTGGCAGATACCATGGCTCCACAATTACAGATTTTTTTGGGGGGGTGAGGAGGGCTTGACATATACCACTTTGTAACACAGATACAAGTTCTTTTTTTTTGTTTTTGTTTTTTTTTTTGTTTTGTTTTTCGAGACAGGGTTTCTCTGTGGCTTTGGAGGCTGTCCTGGAACTCACTTGGTAGTCCAGGCCAGTCTCAAACTCACAGAGATTCGCCTGCCTCTGCCTCCCGAGTGCTGGGATTAAAGGCGTGCGCCACCAACGAACGCCCGGCCAGATACAAGTTCTTAGGACACTTGTAGTGGCTTTGATGGCTGGAAGCAAACGAGGCAGGCAGCAGGCCAGGCAGCTCCAATTACTCTCTAGGCAGCTCCCTGAAGGCTCCCAGCAATAGCCTTAGCAACCCAGGCAGCCGGCACACAGCAAAGCCATTCACTCAGACTCTCCTCATTGGCTGGCTCCCCAGGACTTTCATTGGTCAGCATCTTTGATGTCACTGTCTCCGAGGCTCGCTTTGTTGTGACATTATTTTCTGTCACTGGACTGAGAACTATGCATGTCTCACTGCTTCTGTCCCGAGCCCCTCCCACACAAACTGGCTCTCAGTAATTACCATGCAGTGACTGGCAGTTCCGCCATCTTACACGAACTGAAACACTAGTGATGGTGAAGACAGCTACAACTTTCACATGCATAGAGCATGTGGCGGGCATTATGCTAAGGGCTTTCTGTAATTTACCTCATCAATCTTTTCTCACACGGCACACAGGAAAGTGCTGCGATTATTCCCCCTTCACAGATAACAGAATGAGAAAAACTCAGTGGTTTGCCCAAACTTAGGAGTGGTGGGCGGGGTCTGTTCAGGAGCCAGTGTGCCTTCAGCCAGATCAATAGGAAGTCATGGGTGCATCTGGTAAAGCCTGAGCCTCCTTTGGGAAGTTTCTAATCTGGCAGGGAGACAGCTGGGAGCTGCCTGATGGTGAGCGATTGCCAGCCTAGTCGTCAAACCCCATGAAAAAGCACCTTTTGAACCACCCCTATCCATCACTGCAAGTTAATTTACTATGTGAACATAGTCCATTTGGGGCAGCTATCTGTATCAAGTTACACTACTGAAATCTGGATACCCAGAGCACATGTCTGGGCCCTGAGAACCACTAAAATTAACTACCCATCCCCACTTCAGCTTGGCCCTTACATCCTTCCTTGCTGATGAAGGCCCCTTGTGGAGCCTGCGGGATGCCCTTCCACACAGTGATGGGCTTGGGGTAGCCAGGGTCTGTGGCTCGCCGCTCCTCGCTGTAGCGCCAGTATCGTTCCCCTTTGAAGAAGTAGGTTTTGCCCACAGGTTCCCAGCGCAGAGCTGTGTCGATTCCTTCACGGGGTAGGCAGCTGCCCAACTCTCCCAAGCTGTGGGGGTACCCAGGTTCCACCGTCACTTCTTTGAACACCCAGTACTTGTCACCTGCGGGCAGAGCACAGAATCAGCCTTCAGGGGCCACCCAGTGCCAGATGTTGGGGCCTACTTGCCTGTCTTCATTCATAAAGTCAGAATGTGTGTCTTCTTAGCCCCTGGCCCAGCAGATTTGGGGAGCGAGAAGCCCATCATAGATTTTGGACAATGTGCACCATGCTATGCAGGCTCTCTGTCCCACTGTCTTGGTTTTGTTGTTCCTTTTTGTGACAAAGTCTTTTTTTTTTCCATGGCTAGCCTGGAATTAATTATGTAGACCAGGCTGGCCTCAAACTCTCTGCCCCGAGTGCTGGGATTACCGGTGTAGCCACCATGCTCACCTACCCACTTGTCTTGGCCCTCTTTCATTTTTGGTAATCACACACTACCACTTCCTGCAACTGGGCTCCAGTAGGGGGTGTGTGTTCTGATGGAGCAGCACCTACTACTGCAACAACTCGGAACCTTGGCCTAAGGAGTTAGTGCCGGTGGAAGTCTCAGGATGCAGGTACTAGCTTTTGCACACATTGGCCAACTGTTCACAGACATTCCCACCGGGACCACAATAAGGCTTTACCAATTATAAGCCTGACCCATATGGGGAAAGCTGCCAGTTTCCCATGGGTCCTAGTTCCTTAGTCCTTGACATGGTTGGCTCATGTCGAACAATGCACATGCACTCAGGGCTTCTGCCACTCTCCACACCTCCCCCAGGGCTCTCAGGGCCTCACACTACCCTATCTGCTCTATGCACACCTAACTCTGAGGATACAGCCCCATACCCATTTGACCTAAGCCCCACCCCCCATATCCTGTGCTCTTCCATGGTCCCAGAGCTCATCCTACCAGAATGGCTTCTTTTTTTGTCACCTTTCTTCCTCCCAGTGTCCCTAAGAAGTGCTGGTATCGTTTCCGAGCCTCTTTCCTTCCTTCTCAGACCTCAGCCACTCAGAAGTCTTCTCACAGAGTCCCCTGTTCTCTAGCTGTGCTGCTCCTCTCTGGCTGGGGCCTCATGGGAAAACCATCCTCTGAATTACCCTCCCTGCCTCACCGCATGCCACCTCTCCCATGGTTCTGTGCTACTCAGAAATGTGCAGTGAGTTTCTGGCCTTGGCCTGAATTCTAGGCTGGCAACCACAGCTCTTCAGGAATTGCTCTCATAGGACCCCTTCAAGCTCTCCAAGGTGGGGCCTCAGTGGCTGCAGGGTGAGCTTCTGAGCCCTTGGCGCGGCTCCCACACACCACTGCATTGCGCCCCGCGGTTCTGTTCCCTGAGTGCTTGCCTTACATTTCACTATCTGTGTCTTACCCAGCCTGGGCAGGGCCAAGATTACTAATGTGAAACAGCTCAGGGGTGGGCTAGCCCAGGCTAACTCCCTCCCACCTCTGTCCCACATAGCCAGCTGTCTGGGCTCTTACAGAACTTCGAGAATGACCTTCCAGCAAGTGCTGGGTGGTCTTCTTTGTTTTACCCTGTACTTCATGCACACGGATTTTTTTTTTTTACCCCGTCAACGTTGGCACTTTCTTGACTTGGTTTTCCCAGATGACCTAGGTCCTACCTGTGGGGACCTGGCCTTTCAGAGGTTAGTGTCCATCTGTGGAGAGCATCTGCCTCCATGCTTCCCACCCCACCTCTTCTGGTTTAGATGGGAAAAGGAAACCTCAAAGAGGGCATAGAAACGCCCCGTGTTACCTTTGAAGAAGACAAATCTTCCATCAGCCCTTTCGTAGGCTGCATCTATGCGGGCTGGCAGGCCCTTCCAGAACTGCTCGATCTGCATGGGGTAGCCCTCCTGCACCCGGTTATTGCGCAGGCGCCAGAACCAGCGATCCTGAGGGGTGTGGGGGAAACGAGAAGGGCAGGTGGCAGGTCTTACCTCCGAATTCAGTGATCTCAGCCCCAGGGCTCAGGCCCAGCAACACAACACCAAGCCTGGGGCTCAGCCTCACAACCTCCCATCATGCCGGTCCATCTGCTGCTTCCAACTCTTAGATGACAGGATGTAATTCTTCACTTAAGCCTCCTGCTGTCCAAGGACTATGAGACACACAGCAGATGGGTGTGGGAGAGGTGTGGAAAGGCTAGAAAGGCGAACTGCTGCCTAGGCCTGGAGTGACCACCGGAGGGCAGCAGAAAGTCACTGATATCCGCTGGCATCCAGTGTGGTAAAGAGGAGTATAAAACCCACACTTGCCTGTGAACACTTTATTGGGAGGCTCAAGGAAATACAGGTGCTGTAGTAGGACTATGACTCACGGAAGACAGTACAGACCTAGGATACCTTTTAAAATTCACTTATGCATATGGGTGTGTGCCTGAGTGCAATGTGTGCACGTGTGCGTGAGTCTGCCGTCATCAAAAGAGGGCATTGGGTTCGCTGGAACTAAGAGTCAGAGGCAGTGAGCCACCATATGGGTGCTGGGAACTGAACACAGGTCCTCTGCAAGAGCAGTAGCTGCTCTTAACCACTGAGGCATCTCTCCAGCGTTTTCCAAGGGTTTCACAAAGCACTTTCAGGTCCAGTTTGTAAAATACTTTATTCTGACTTGCACAGCTCTGTCAAGTCAATCTGACACACAGTGTTAAGGAAGGCCAAAGGCCACGCCTACAGACAGGCACTTAGTGAGAGGAAGAACTGGGCTAGCCTACATGGCCTGAATTTTACTTTGTGCTTGAAGCTTCCCGGGGAGACCTTAGGAAGGGAAATGGGGTAGCCTTCCTCTGGCACCCAGTGTCATGGAGACCTGTTGTCCAGCTGCCATTTGGTGAAGGAAGTGTACCAGCAGGCAGCTTCCAGCTTTCAGGCCTTTCGCCATGTGTCAGCCTCATTTTTGCATCCAGTATGGAATGACTCTGATGGGCCATTCTAGCTCCAGAACTTCCCACGAGGGACTAAATTGGCACCAAGTCTGTGTCTCCTTACCTTCTTCCTCTATCCTGACTGGCTTCCTGCCTCTCCTGCCCACATCTGTTGATTCTAAAGGTCCTTAACCAGAATCTCTCATTCCAGACTCTCTCTCAGAGTCTGTTTCCCCAAGGACCTAGCCTGCCACGCACCATGCTCAGGCAGTCCTTGGCTCACGTGACAGGCTCAGGACAGGGAACATGGGATAGCCTTGCCAGTACCTGCCACTCATGCCCTGGCAGGAGCTGTAGACTCTGCCATCCCTGACCAGGCCCTGCTCTGCATCTTCCTAGCCATTAATCTTCATACATCCTTTGTCAGAGGAATGACTACCCTAGTTTGGATAGCTGAGGTCTGGATAAGGAAGGTGACTTATCCAAGGCCACAGACCAGAAGCCATCTCCAGCATTTTCTTGAGCATTGATTGGCTCCTTGGAAGCTGTCAGCTCACCAATCTTTCCTTGTCACCTTGTAGAACCAAGTTGATTGATCTGTCTGCACCAGAAAGAGACTATGGGTCCTGGCCACTAGACCAGCTCCTATCCAGGCCCTACAGCAGCCTAGAGCAGATAGAGTAGGAACCTGCCCAGCTCCATTATCGGGGAAGGCACACCCTGGGTGGCACTGGTCCACCAACCTTACCTTAAACACAAACATCTCACCCCGGAAGAGGGCCACCGTGTTGAAGTTGCCATCACAGATGTTGGGCTTGGCACCTGGAGTGGATGGTCGGTCCCCTAGAGGTGGCCGAGGGGGCCTGGGCTGCCTCTCATGTTTCCTCTCAGATGGTGAGTGGATCCTGCGGACCGGGAGTGTAGGAAGGGGCCTTGTGGGCTCCAGGGGTTCAGCTGGGGGTCCTAGAGAGAGGGGCTGCGTCTTAGAGAGGATCTGGCTCTTTCCTGCTGTCGTCTGCCGTTGCCCCGTCAATACGTAGGCAGTTCCAGGTCAAGTCTGTCCCTTCAGACTTCCTGTCCCCTCTCCCTGATTTAATTCCTCAGTCTTTGAGAAAATAGGTGGAAACAGCCACGAGATAGGGACTTTCACCTTCCCACCCCAAGGCTGGCATCTTTCCCTTTTAAAGAAGAAACTTGTCCTTCCTGTGGGCCAGTGTCCCACACCCTCCTTTGCTGGCCTCCTTCACACAGGCTGAACTCTAATCTCTAACCACTTTCATTCTTCAGCCAACTTCAACAGAGCATCAGCTCCATTTTCCACCCAAACCACTTGCCAAGTTCACCAATGACCTCTGTTTTCGGAAACCAACAGTTATCAACTTTGTTGATCGAGTGAGTCATCTTGGTAATGTGGGTTGTGACTCAGAGGGCCTGGGGTGGAGCCAGAGACAGTCTTCAAGGTCTCAGGTAAAGTCCATGTCACTGACCTGAGGCCCAAACATTGGACAGCAAGATTCTGGACACATTTGCCTTGGACCAATCTCCTTTTCCAGAGCCCTGCACTCTCGGTTTGTCTGCCCTGGGGGGATTCTCTATTAACCCCCATTGTTAGAGTAGCCTACCCTGTTCCAAAGACTGAGTACCCGCAAGGGTCTCTTTTCTGCCTCTCAACTTGGGCAGCTCATGCGGATCACCTAGGGAAGTTCTAAAACTCCAGATCTTCAGGGAGTTCCCAGATGGGCTCACTCAGATCTTTGGGGTGAGGGCTAGGTGTCAGTGACTTTTTAAAATAAGCATCCTGAGCTGATTCCCAAGGGCAACCCAGTTGAGAGTCATTGTTCTAAGGGCTCATCTGGGTTCCCAGCTTTAAAGACCCTCAGAGCTGTCCTCGGACGTTCTGTGGTGGCAGAAATGTCCCATATCTGCACTGTCAGTATAGTTGCCTCTGGCCACATGTACACATGCGTATTGAGGACTTGAAGTTTAACTATGATACATTTCACATCTGTAATTGATACAATAGCTATTTTTGTAACTAGTAACTATGTACTGTATACCGAAGACCTCAAGTGAGTATCCCAGCCTTGGTCTGTGGGCTGCACAGGAGAAATCCTATTATTCTACAATTACAAATACCAGAGTGTCCCCACCTTTTAAAGACGGGATCTCATGTACCCCTGGCTGGCCCCAAACACCTTATGTAGCAACTTCTGATCTTCTTGACTCTATCTCTAGAAGGCTTACAGGTGTACGCTAGCTACCATGCCTGGTTCATGTGGTTCTGGAGATCAAATGTAGGGCTTTCGTGTATGTATACTAGGTGAGCCCTCACCAGGTGGGCCACACCCACAGCCAAGTCAGAACTCTGTGGTATTATCTTGACCTGTTCTTTCTTTCTCTCGTCCCGAATCTGATCTGTCAGCAGATCCTGTCCATTCCACCTTTGAAATAACTTCTAGTACTGGCCACCCACCCCACCCCCTGCTGCTTCACCGTGGGCTGGGATCCAGGGGCCCTGGTTGCTGCACCTCCTCCAGAGGGAGCCCCCTCCTGTGCTGTGGTGACCAGCATTTACTCAAATGAACTGATCTCCCATTTCAACTAACCTGACCAGGCCCTCCATGCCGGCGGGACTTGTACATGGTAGGCTTTAATATCTTATGAGGACAGCAAGCTAGCTTCTCATTTCCCCTAAGATCACATATAATACTTATTAGCATTGTTCAAGCAGATGTGTGACTTTCCTAGGTTAGAGGCACCCGGAGTGTGCCTGGCCTCCATCTGGTAAAGGGAGGTCATGGAGAACAGGAGGTGACAGGAAGGTGGGTGGCAAAGGATAGAAAGGAGGGAATGAGTGGGCCTCACCTCAGTTTGCCTTTCCCAGTCACAGCTCAAGCTCCCTCCCTTAGGTTTCCCCGTGTGCTAGGGGGACGTCATCGAAGTCAGCACAGAGACACAGCAGCAGCGCTGACAATGGCAAAGATCCTGACCCCACACCCACCAGAGTGACCAGAGTGCACGCTCACATTGACAACAGTGACCCCCACCCACTCCCCACTACACACACCGTAAATCTTCTGGATACCCTGGAGGTCATCCTGGGGCAGTTTAAAGTTGTGCGTCTCCATGTATTGGTAGAAGGGTGCCATGATGGCACTGGGGTCATTAGAGTGTTCCAGTCCCAGGGCATGGCCCAGTTCATGCACAGCCACCAGGAAGAGGTCATTGCCTGTAGAGAGGGACATAGAGGTATCCAGGATACCCACTCAGTATTAGTTAGTATGCTACTTAGCATATCAAGCACTTAGCATATCCCCTGCCTCTGCCCCTGACCTTCTGTTGGACACTAGGGACATAGAGAAATCAAACACAATCTTTGCTTATGTACCACTTGGTACAGAGAGGTACATGCAGAAATTGCAAAGGTTACACAGGACCCAGGCACTCAGACATGTGTAAAGATTGAGAACTTTTTTAAAGGTACCTTTGGGCCTTGCATATATCACTGAGCAATATCCCAAATCCTCTTTTTACTTTTCGATTCTGAATGCTTGAACTTGAAACCTCCTGCCTCAGCTGGGACTACATGTCTGTGCTACTAAGTACCATTTGGATGGGAGGAAGGTGTTCAGGGAGGACACACGGGTGAGACTTCTTAGGTTGAGTCTTGAAAGGTCTGCAGAATGGATTCAGGGTTAGGGAGGAAGAGGGTGGAGTGCCATTCCTGGCAGAGGTACTGCTATAAACCAGGTCCAGGGAAGAGCAGTTCATTCCACTTGGCTTTAGAACAAAGCACGAAGGGAGGGCCAGGGAGAGATGAGGTCAGTCAGGCTGGCAAGCAGGGCTCTGTGATGCCCTACAAAGGAGTTTGGATCAGTTTCTTGGCCATGGGGTGTGTGCAGGGATAGCAGGAGAGGAGGGGGGCATGATGAAGTCACCCTGGTTACCACTGGAGAGAGAATCAGAGGCAAAGGAGACCTGAGTTCAGAAGGTGGGGTGCAGGTGCTGGGGTGCTGGTGGGCAGAGTCAAGGAAGCCATGGCAAGACAAGAGAAAGTCCTTGGGGTGACTGGTGTGAACAGGGCTCAGTGTCGGGTACCTGGCATGAACAGGGCTCTAGGGGCAGGGACAGCAGAACCCTAGTCCCGGAACTCCTGACCAAAGTCAAGGTGGGGAGAGAAGAACAGGCAGAAATCTGGTGCTGAAGGCGGGACGCGGGATCCTGAACATGAAACTGAGGGGCAGCGAGGTGTGCTGGTTATGAGCACCCTGAGGCGGGACACTTCCAGTGCCACACCTGCAAGCTTTGTGAGCTTGGGTCAACACCTCACCCTCAGCGTCCTCATTTGTAGAAAGAGAAGCTGGACTAACTCATTGGTTGGGTGAGGACTGAATAACTAACAGGTGTAAAGTGTGTGGCCTAGCCAGGAGTCGTTGCTCTGTTGCTACAGCACAAAAGACATGAGCTGGGCCAGAGCAAGCCCATTAACCAGAAAGGTTGGTGGGGCTTCAGCAACCAGATTTTCTTAAAACTAGCTCCCTTCACTTGCCATTTTAAGCTGTGGTTAGGTCAAGGCCTGAATTTGTAGACATCAGGTAACCGTTGTATTGGGAAAGAAATTGGCCGAGGAGTTGTCTGGCCTTTTGAGTAAGGTCTTGGGAAGAGAAGAATTCTACAGGTCAGCCTGACTCTCCACCGACACCAACACCGTCATCCATGAAGCCACCTTTGAGCAATAGAGAGGAATGGGGCTGGGCCAGATCATTGCAAGGTTGGCCAAAAGCCTGGGCTGGTCTTCTGCTGAGAGAGGCAGGCTGACAGGAGAAAGCTAGGTTGCCCCCAGCTCCTTCCTCGGGCCCTGGTCCCTTCAGCAGCAGGGAAGCCGTGAGCTCATCTTTTAGCTTCACTCCAACAAAGGCGCTGCTGGAGGCGGCAGAAGGCAGCTCAGCTTCTTACAGCCTGTCCTGGCTCTGCTCCTGGCCTTCTGTCCGCCTGGACAAGCTGTCCAGGGCCTCTCTCCTGACCAGGCTTCTCCTTGGGACCATCCACAGGGACCTCAGCAGGGGGCCAGGGAGCCCCTGAGTACTCTCAGCTACTGTCCTTGGCTTGTGCCCATTCTGTAAACTGTGAAATCCTTGAAGCAAAGAGGCCTGTGGGCTTCTTCCCAGGACCAAAAGGAAGAGAAGCGCTGGGAAGCCAGCATCCTGCTGCACAGAATCTGGAGAGCTTTGGGGAGGAGAGGAGAAGGAAGGGCAGCCACACTGAACTTGTGAGAGAGAGCAGAGGGAACAAGTGGGGGTCAAGTATGGAGAAGACCCAGTGCCTCATGGAAAGGAGGCTCTTAGGGTCTTCACCCCCAAAGAGGGGGAGGCAGGAGTAGAGTGATCAGATTATGGTTTCTGCAGCTCTGCCATGTCCTAGAGGTGTGGCATTTGAAGAGCCCTTTCCCTGCAGCGAAGAGAATAATGGCTGCTGTCCTCCTAAGAACAGCAACAAGGATTAATGAGTCAAGGTAAACAAAGTCCCACACCAGGGCCTGGTGCAGATGGATCATTACTCATTATCACTGTTGTGTCGAGCTATGTGAGAGGACCAGCGTCCCCAAGTGTGTGTGTTCAGGAAGTCTCTGGGCCCTGTAGCATGACAGTCTGCTTGGCTTCTCCGGTGGACCTGGCCTCTTTTAGGATGAACTTCACTCATTGCGGATTCCTGTCTTCATGACTCCAATAGCACCCACCCCAAGGTATTTCTCCTCACCTCTGCGTGCTTATCAGCGGAGTCCCCTAGAGTACCCCCTCCCTTTAAAGTTCAGCCCAGTGCTCATCTCCCCAGAAACCAGTCTGGTTCTCCCAGCTGGCCGAGCATGTTGCCTTCTCCTTCTACCAGCATCTTAATACAAGGCAGCTTTAGGTGCTGGCCATTTTCCAACCTTCATTAATTACAGCCACGGGTGGGTATTCTGCCCAAGACTGAGCTTCTTGGGCACAGTAGCCCCAGAAAAGTGGTTCAGTTGACTGAGTCTGACACAGTAAGGCAACAACACCCAGGAGGGGACAATGCCAAAACTACTCTAGTGTTCCATGTACTGTCCCTGGAGCACCTGCTGCAGACCCTCGTGGGGACTCTTAGAGATGTGACATCTCACTTTCACATCTGGCTCTGCTGCCTTCCAACTGTGACTCTTTCAATACCTCCCTAGATCCCCTGTGGAGGGTGAGCTAAGTGGAAAGGCTGTGTCCTGTGAAGCAGGGTATGGTCATGAAGGCTCTTCCTGGCTTGTCACCTTCCTCTAGGAAGGAACACTGAGGGCTGGGTTCCCTCCTGGCAGAACCCAGTGGGTATCTGCTGACTTCACTGGTTGACTCATTTGAAAGACATGGGGACAAAGTTTAATGAAAATGGCTTTAAGGTGTGATGGGCTAGCTTGTGCCTTTGTACCTTTGGTGGGGTAGGGAATGAGAACCATATGCACAATTCAGTGGCACTCTGGGGAGGTGTGTGTGTGTGTGTGTGTGTGTGCGTATGCGTGTGCATATGCGTATGGTATGTGTATGTGTATGAGTGCCTACATGCATGTGTGGGTATGTGGAGGTCAGAAGTCAACCTTGGGCATTATTGCATCTTGTGTTTTGGGGCAGGGTCTCTCCTTGGACCTGGAGCTTCCTTACTAGGCTAGGCTGTGTAGCTAACAAGCCCCAGGCATTCCTCTGTTTCTGCCTCTCCAGTGCTGAGCTTGCAAGCATTTGACACCATACCTGACTTTATTGCATGAGTTCTGGAAGTCAGACTCAGGTCTCTATGCTTGAACACTTCACCAGAGCTCTGGGCATTAGATTTATAAGAAGTTGTTGCCAGGTGGTGGTGGCGCACGCCTTTAATCCCAGCACTCGGGAGGCAGAGGCAGGCGGATCTCTGTGAGTTCGAGCCCGGGCTGGACCGACAGCCTCCAAAACAATACAGAGAAACCCTGTCTCGTAAAAACCAAAAAACCAAAAACCAAAAAAAAACAAAAAACAAAAAAGAAGTTGTTAACCTTGTTGAGTTTGATACTGATTTTGTGATTATATTAAAATTCAATCTTTGTTATTGTTAGAGTGGCATGCTAGGTTAGCAATATGTAAAATGATATTATTCCTGGGTCTTTGTTTAAAATATATCAGCCATGGGGCTAGAGAGATAGCTCAGAGGTTAAGAGCACTTGTTGCTCTTGTAGAGGACCAGGGTTCATTTTCCAACACCCACATGACAGCCCACAACCATCTGTAACTCCAGTTCCATAAGATCTGACACCTTTTTCTGGCCTCCAAGAATACTGCTTGTGGTACACTCATGTAGGCAAAACACTCATATACATAAAATAAAGAAAACAAAACCTCAGTAGAAAATAAAATAAAAGTAGAAGGGTTACAACAGTGTTGGTCACCGGAGCAGAGGGTGGTGATCTAGGGTCCTCCTCAGGCTCCTCCTCTAGAGAATTTGTAAATGTTCCATAATGAAAGAAAGCTAGTAATCAGACCAAGTCCCAGGAGAGCCCACTTGATGGGGGATGTTCTTCTGTATTGTGTTTCTCTTACTGGTTGATGAATAAAACTGTTTGGCCAGTAGAGGCAGGAAGACAGGCAGGGCTAGGAGACGAGGAGGATTCTGGGAAAGGTAGACAGAGAGGGCATGGAAGGAGACGCCATGTAGAAACCTGGAGGATAGAATGCACCAGACATTCTCTGGTAAGCTAAGGCACGTAGAAATACACAGACTAGTAATTATGGGTTAATAATTAAGAGAGAGCTAGCCAGTAAGAAGCCCTAGCTACTGGCCAACAATTTTATAATTAGTATATCGTCTGTGTGCTTATTTGGGGCTGAAGGGTGGTGGGACTTGGCGGGACAAGAAAACACAGCTAACCCTGCTCCCTCCTTCACTGAGTCTATGTGGAAACCAAATGCCACATTATCCAGGTGCTCAATAAGTTGTGGCTCCTTCCTACCACTACAGCATGTCTTGGGGCAGTGCTCACCAGTTTACCCTCATCAGCCAGGGATCTACTGCTGTACCCATAAGCGGTACCCGGTTCATCTCGGGTTTTATAGAGCGATGTCCTGACCCCTGTCCAGAGAAGACATTAGCTCTCATAGAGTCCCTATCCGAGCTGGAGATCATTCATTAAAGGTGGGGTAATCAGGCGGGAGGGGTGTTGCAATGGTGTCCACCTTCCCACATGTCACACACACCAGTTCTTAGGACTGGAGGCTGACCTAGTAAGTTCCTCAAAAGCAAGGAGTGGGCATGACTGTGAGTCCCCGGGGCTTGGATGAAAGGGAGGCAGGGCCATTTCTTCCTAGCACCTCTATAAGAAAATAACCCTTTGAAAATTTAGTTGTGAGCCGGGCAGTGGTGGTGTACACTTTTAATCCCAGCACTTGGGAGGTAGTGACAGGTGGATCTATGTGAGTTTGAGGCCAACCTGGTCTACAGAGCAAGTGCCAGGTCAGCCAGGGCTACAGAGAAACCCCGTCTCAACACCCCCACACACACACAAAAGAAAATTCAGTTGTGTTTACCAGAACTAAAACTAAAACCCTTTCAGCTAATGGTGCCTGGCACATAACAGGCCTGAAAATGATAATTTGTTTTCCTCCTGAATTCTTATCAGTCGTCACAGTCATTTGTTGACACCACTCCAAAAATAAGTAAGATAAAGAATAGGTACACAAAGGTCAGGAAAGTTATCCAGGACGTAGGAGAGATGACGCCAAGCCAGAGGAAATGGAGCTTCACAGGAAACAGAACAAAATTCTGAAGATGGAAGAGGACAAAGAAACTGAACAACAGTCTCATAACTGCCTGGGCTACGCCTTGGCCAAGCCACCTCCTGGACCAGTGTTGGAGAGATGCTGAGAGGAGCAAAGCCCTGATCCACATAGTCATCTGGAGTGTCTTCAAGGGAGACACCCATCCACCTACACCAGACATGGCTTCTGAGGGAAGGGACCGAGAAGTGCCTGCCTGTACCCACAAGCTGTGCCAAGGCAGGAACAGGTGTCCTTTGTTTCCCAAACTTGATCCAGCTTAAAGATGGGGATCTCCAGGGTCAGAAATTCATGTTTCTAAACAGACACTGTGGTTCTCATGGGCCGTGTGGTTTGGGATCAGTGTTCATTTGGAGCCCTGACCTCACCCATGCTTGATCTGGAAAGCCCCATTCCTGCCTCTATCTCTCTCCAAACCCTGTCTTCTTAGAGAATCTCCAACAAAGAAAAGGCACCCAAAACCCAGGTCAGCATTCTTGGTGATTACTGCGACTTCCTCTCCTGTTGGCACCAGCAGCCCAAGTCTCTGCTTAAACCTTCTACTTTTGACCACACTTGAACACAAACCCAGCTTGTGGCAGACATGTCATCACCCCTTGCCTACAAGCTATATAATCTCCCTGCTTTAGTTTGGATGTGTGACTTCTCTGACCTTGGTCTCTGTGACTGGAGAATCCATCCAGAAGTTGCTTTGCTCAAATAAATCTGCTGTTAAACTTTTAAAATTCAGCTTGATCTGACTTACTGTGTTGGTGGAGAAACCTATTATAGGGGTACAGAAAACCTATTAGTCAGCATGGTGGCTGAGGGTATGGGCTCCTGGGTTACAATATTCAGAATCAAAGCCTTGTTTAACTACTAACTAACTATGGGGCCTTAGATAGAATAATGTTTCTCTATGCTTTTGTTTGCTTATCTGTAAAATAGGGATGATAATACCTACTTATGGCATGATGTGTGGGAGGTACTTGGTATGGACCTTAAAACCTTTACATCCACTAATTACTATCTACTATAATCTTAAGGCTGAGTCCCCCTGACTCTTGTTGCATTTTCTTGGCATATGTGCTGCGACCTTCAGTAGAGTGTGTCTTACGGCCCGATTACTTATATAGACACACAACTCTAGGTTTCAGAGGGCAGACTCTGCCTACTCCCTTAATTAAATATTCACATATTCTTTGATCTTTGCAGGACTTGTACCATGCCACAGCAGCACTGGAAGAGACCTTAGAGATTACTTAATCCGTCACCCATTTCCACTTCCTGTATGCTGGGATTACAGGTATGTACCACCACTCTTTGCTTATGCTGGGGATTGAACACACGGCTTTATGAATGTCAGGCAAAGACTCTACTAATTGAGCTACATCCTTAGCCCTTTCATAGGGTGATGTTGAACTTGGGTTTGAGCTCCAGCTCCACCACCTACTACTTATACCTTTTAACCCTTGAGCTATTTATCTTAAAATGGGCACAACAGTTGGCATGACAACTCAGTGGATAAAGATACTTGCTACCAAGCCTGATGACCCAAGTCCAAGCCCTAGGACCTGCCTGGTGGAAGGAGAGAAAGGACTCCCACAAGTTGTCCTCTGAACTATCTATAGTATATACTCATTCCACAAATAATAACTAAATAAATAAATCCAATTATTGGGCCAGTGAGATGGCTCTATGTAAAGATGTTCTGCCACCAGGAATGGCCACCTGAGTCTGATTCCAGAGATCCACCTACACAGGAGAAGGAGAAAACTGACCTTCCCAAGATGTCGTCTGATCGCCACATGAGAACTGTGCATGTGCACACTGACACAGCATACACACATACAAATAAATGAATGTAATACAAAAATTTCAAATGGGCACAACATAGTGTCCATCCCCATTTGCTAAGCGAGTGTCTTAGTTCATATGGATGAACTCTTCAATGATGGGTGGCCTGATACTGACTGCTGCTCTGCGGGTATCACAGAATCACAGTAGAGCAGGGCAAGTTATCCGAGAATGCTACAAAGGTTGGGCCATGGCTTAAAGTAACTTTGGGACCAGAACCCATCAGATCTCCAGTTCTATTTTAAAGCCTTCTAACCTGTTTCTTCAGCCTCTTACATACCACTTTCTTATTCATGGTTCAATCCTGCCCCAGCCCGATTAGACCAACTTCTAGGTGGTCTCAACCACCGTTATGGCCCTGGTTCTGGTGGATCAGGATCAAGTGTTGAATATTAACAGAGATCACAGTTCTCACTCTCTTGAGTCCTCAGTTTTTAAACAAGAAGTTTTGGAAAGCAGGTCTCTCATTAATGGTGTCTCCAAGTGTATCCTCCATATTTCCCTGACAATTAAACATCCCAGCACTGACTCCCCATCCATCCTCTCATCGCCTTACCATCATGGTTGGCATTTCCTAGTGTCCAGGGCTCATCTGAATCGAAGTGAGTGTCTCCTCCAATTCCTGGGCCAGGAAAGTAGGCATGGGCGAGAAATCCCCCTTCCCCATCAAATGGGGAGCTGTCACCATGGAAACCAGAAGCAAAGAAGATCATGATGTCTGCCTCCTTCCGGTCACTTTTGATCTCATGGTATGGCACCTCTTCAAAAGTCAGAGGGGTTACCTTCTGCCACACATCGAAAGCCTGGCGGATAGCTTTCCGTGTGTCCAGCTCCCCCACCTTCGGGGTGTAGTTGTGAATGCTGGTGAGAGAGAGAAGGATCATTAGAAAGAAAGACAGAATCAGAGACCAGTGGAGCTGAAAAGGATGTCAGAGAAGCATGGTCCAGTGGTCTGCACATTTCGAGTCCTAGAATTCTACTGAGATACCCTGGGGGCTAAATAGGAAGAGCATCACCCCCACCCCACCCACAGAATAGCTTTGTTTTCATCGGAGTTTTTATTCCTGACAAGGCTTGTGTTGCATAAGGGATTCCATCCAATATGCAGTAATTGTCAGGTAGACTCCTTTAAATTTAATTCTTTCTCTCCCAATACATAAAGTATATACATTTGTAAAAGTCACAAACACACTCAAATAGTACAGAGGCATTTAAGTGGAAAGGGACTAGTTATCGTTGTCTTGTCAGCAGCTGCTGTGGGGCAGCACATGACCTAATCCAACGCCTGACTTAGCTCTTTAAGGTAACTAACTGTATCTACGATTCTCCACAACGGAACACTACTGCTTATGAGTTCTCTACCCCAAGAATGCCTGGGGACACAGATCATCTTACTCACTCCTTAGGAAGGAAGCAGAGGTCTAGGGAAGCTGAGTAATGGAGGTAAGGTCAGAGTAGAGCTAGAAACTTTCCCTTCCTCTTGATCCATTCCTCGCCTTTGGGAGACCCAAGAGTCTTCTAACCTAGACTCCTCTTAAGTTTCCTTTTCTTTTTAAAAAAAAATCCTGTTCTGATATCTACATCTCATCAGTAAGGAAAGCCCTTACTGTAACCCAGTGATCTCTGTCTTAGGTTATTTTTCTGTACCCTGGGAATCGACCTGTGCTGGAATCAGAGTTATGAGAAGTGCCAAGCAGAGCCCATTGGAGCCTTTCCTAGCCTGGTCCCTGCCCAAGCCTCTGTTCCCTGGTGTCTGACCCTGCTGTGCTGGGTTTCAATATCCTTGTGTCAGTCACCGTGAGGCTTAGAGACAGAATCTGCACTGCCCTGGCTTCCCCAGTCACAGAATGACACTGTTGTGATCCCTATCTCCATTCCTTGCTCTCCTTAAGAAACAATGGAGACTCTGCATTGAGCATCTTGGGTGAAGTCTGTCAGGCTGAAATTGGGAATCCAGCAGAGGCAGGGCAGTTTTTAAGCATGAACAGTGAATTCCACCTTGGAACTTTATGCAGCAGAATCCTACAAACAATTCATATCCCATGTTCAGTAACTAAAAACTGTAGGTGTCTAGACAGAACACAACTAATTCCCAAAGGACCAGGCAAACCAGGAACATGAAGCCAGAGTCACCTGTGGAGGTCACAAGGAAGACAGGGTCACAGGCTCTCAGCAACTGACGTCCCATGCCTGGCCTTTGTCCCGAGTCCCCTATCCGAAGACATTCCTACCATGTGAACCTCAGAAACTTGGGCAGGAAAAACAGAATGAGCATGGGGATCAAAACAGGGGGGAAGCAAGAGGCTGCAGCACCTGTAGGTGATGTGTTTCTGCCTCCACTTCTGTCCAGTCAGGGCATAGCGCTTATTTCTCCGCCTCCTGCTCAAGTGGGGATGGTCAGGGACACCACATCGGGGTTTCTTCATCCACCTGGGTGGAGAGAAGGCACACACACACACACACACACACACACACACACACAGAGAGAGAGAGAGAGAGAGAGAGAGAGAGAGAGAGAGAGAGAGAGAGAGAGAGAGAGAGAGAGAGAGAGAGAGAGGTATTACGGTCACTGAACACTCTAGGAAGGCATTGTCCAGTCCACAACTCCAGTCTGAATGGCAGTGCGCTTTCTCAGCTTAGATTCTGGGATCTTCACTCTGCACGCACTCAGAAGGAATTTGATAGATGGACTGATTCATTAATTCATTGTCTCCCAAGGAGAAACACTTGAGTTTAAGAAACACTTAAGACCCTGGAGTCAGGAGACACTTGTAAGTTCTAGTTCTACCAAGCGAGGACCCCAAGCAAAGGATGAAATCAACATGAACCCTAGTTTCTTCGTCAACATCATAACTGCAATAAAACTCTAACCCCCGCTCAGACTACAGTGCCCCCACGTGGTCTGCCCTCGCCCATGTATCCAGCAGCTTGTTACCCTTTTCCTGTCAGTGAGACAGCCAGTCACAGTGGTGTCTCGCTGTTCTCTATAGTAACCATCCTTTTGCATTTGTTGTCTGCTTTGCTTGTTTGTTTGTTTGTTTGTTTTTGGTTTTTCGAGACAGGGTTTCTCTGTGGCTTTGGAGCCTGTCCTGGAACTAGCTCTTGTATACTAGGCTGGTCTCGAACTCACAGAGATCCGCCTGCCTCTGCCTCCTGAGTGCTGGGATATTAAAGGTGTGTGCCACCTTGTAGTCCTCTGTCTTCATGTAGTTTGTTCCTTTATTTCATTCCAGTCTCTGCCCTTCAGAGAGAGCTTCCCTGATGAACTGATCTAAAACAATGAGATTCCAACATGGCTTAACTTGCTTAATGGTTCTTTCTAGCGGTTCTCACTCCCCGAAATGTATACATCCGCCTTCTTGTTTACTCTTTGTTTTTCTCACCATATTCTGAGCTGGATGAGGATAGGGGAGTCGCCTGTGTCCTTAGGGCTGGCACAGCGACTCACATGGAAGGGGGTCAATAATGATTTCTTAACCGATGACAGACAGAATGTGTGAATCAGAACCCTTCAACACTACAACAGAAGAGCACGAAAGACAGTAAATGCCTTTCACTACAGGTGTTTAAGAAGTGGCTCAAGGAGCTGGAGAGATGACTCAGCAGTTAAGGGCACTGGCTGTTCCTCCAGAGGGCCTGAGTTCAATTCCCAGCACCCACATGGCAGTTCACAACTGTCTGTATGTAGTTCCAGCTCCAGGAGACTCCACACCCTCACACAGATACATAGGTAAAACACCAATGAGCATTAAACAAACAAGAAAGTGGGTCAATACTCAGGTGTTCTGTAAAAACAGGACTTGGAAGGCTGAGGCCGGAGGATCAAAAGTTCCAGGTCAGCCTAGTTGTCTTCACAGTGAGTTCCCGGCCAGTCTAGTCTACACAGAGAGACCCTGACTCAAAAGAAAAGAAGTCTCTGAGTAGATGTAGGATGTAGAATGTAACTTTCTGTAGTTCTTAGTACATTATATTGTGGTTTTTAGATATTGATTTGTTGCATCGAATAGTGGCAGATTCTTTGAGAAACCGTGTTACATTTGCCATTGTGCCCCAAAGCTACTCTAGTGCTTGGAATTCAGTAAATCTTGATAAACTTGTCCTTTGTCAGGTAAAGGCACACCAGGGAACGAGCCTGGAACATCACTGGGGATTTAAGAGGGGCCCGGGCAGGAGATTTAAAAAGCCACAACTGACTAGGGCCAGACCGCCTGCATTTTATGTTCTGCCTGACAACCAACCCACTGAACTATAGCCTGGCATCACAGGAAGGGAAAATGACCTCACTCACAGCTGTTAAAAGCAGTTGCCATTGGCAATGGAGAAAAGAAGACAGGCCGTGTTAACCACATATGAGAAGTCCCTAGAGGGAATGAACTAGATCTTACTCATCTTGGTGTGCTCCACTCACTTGGAGGGTGACCTACACTCTCGGCAGTAACGGATTGCCATGGCATCAACAGCATACATCCATGTAAACATTTGCAGTTCCCATGTATTTGTGTGCTCTTAGAGTTCTTTGATTTGAGATGGGATCTTGCCAGGTAGCTCAGGCTAGCTTCAAACTCATGATCCTTCTGCCTCCATCTCCTATGTGTTAGGATTACAAGCAGACACAATTACACCTGGACTGCTTTTAGGATTTTTACTTTATTTACTTATTTATTTATTTTCGGTATTTTTGAGACAAGGTTTCTCTGTGTAGCTTTGGAGCCTGTCCTGGAACTCGCTATGTAGCCCAGACTGGCCTCAAACTCACAGAGAATGGTACATGGGATCTGTTCTCTTCTACCTTGACAGGGTCCCAGGGGTCGAACTCACATCGTCAGGATTGCGTGGATGAATCAGGTCATTTGGAACACAGAAGTCAGTGAGGCAGGACTGCAACTTCACTGACTTGGAGGACTATAAATGCAGTTTAGCACAAAGTTGAATTAGAGGAGCTATGTGGCTGGATGAATGAGTGAAAGAATAAATGTGTGACCTTTCCCAAGGCAAACACTCAAAAACAGTACTTGAAATTGTGAATCAAGCTTCCTTTTACTCATATGCCCTGGAAAGAGAAGCAAGAGTCATCCCTGCTACCGCAAGGCTGAGGGAGACCTGAGAGCCTGATGGCAGGAGATGGGCCCAGGGAAAGGCAGCTATTGCCCAAAGTCACAGAACTAAGGTGGAGGCCTCTGAATTCCACCCATCCTACTCCAGGCTTGGGACTCAGAGTGAACAGCCTTTTCCTTTCTGTGTGTCCGGAATGCTTCCCACCTTCCTGAAAGAGGTGCGGTCAGGCAATGTTACCTCTTTCCTCAGCTCCTTCCCTTCGTCTTCTCTCTTCCATTCCACCTGCTGTGGTTTGAACCCTGTCCAGCAGGCCTGGGGCTTTCTGGAACAGAGTAAAACCCAAGGCCAGGTGGTGCCTCCTCGGAGACATCAGTGCTCCTGGCCCAGGATGCGCAGCCACGAAGCCTGCACAAACGCCTCAAAATAATGCTGGCCTAGGAAGGAGGCTAAGATCCTTGAGCCACTCACTGGAAAGGCCCAGGACCAGATTCTGCTCACAGCCTCTAAGGAGCCTTAGGATGCACTGTCTCCGTATTTCACAACATCACAGTTAGAGAAGGAAGGACCGGGATGTGTTTGGATGGAATTATGGATCACCAAGTTTTGAGAGTTTTGCATCTTGGAATAATGATGGACTCAGGATTTGATAGCCAAACCCAGCACTCTGAGTCCCCCAGAGATAACTCCATTCCGGAGTAACTTGTCTGAGGGATGATTGTGTGCATTTCCCATCTGCCTTCTGCCAGTTCTCCCGTGTCCTCAACCAGCCCTGCCATCTGCTTCCCTCCTCACGTGGGCTCATAGCTCTCCCTCTGGAACCTCACCCCTGCTCTTTCCATGCCTTCCTGGCCTGCAGGTCTCTTCTGAGACAGTTTGAGTGGCTTTCACGGAGATCTTCTTTTTAGTTTAATTTTTTTACTTATTTATATTTACTATTATTATTATTAGTGTGTATGTGTCCACACACAAGGTCAGAGAACAACTTTTAGGAGACTTTCTTTTCAATGTGTGATCTAGGGATGGAACTGAGGTCATTAGGTTGTGTGGGAAGTACTTTTACCTGCTAGGCTCATCTTATCAGTCTATGGCTATTTAAAAAAAAAAGGCTAGGTATAATGGAGTCAGATATCTTTAATCCCAGTATTTGAGTGGCAGGAGAATTTCTGCGAGTTCAAGGCCAGCCTGGTCTACATCATGAGTTCAGGGACAGCCTGGGCTATGTAGGGAGATCTCATCTCAAACAAAGCAAAACCAAACCAAATGTTATCAAGCTACTCTCATCTGTTAAATTTTCTATTTATTTCTATTTTAAATATGTTTTTTATTTTTTATGGGCATGTATGTGTCTGAGTGTATGTTTGTGAATCAGGGACATGCAGGAGACCTCAGAAGACAGAAGAAGGTATTAGACCCTGAACTGGGGTCACAGGAGGTTGTGAGCCCCCATGTGGGTGCTGGGAATTGAACCTGGGTCTTATGCGAGAGTAGTAAGTGCTCTTAAACGCTGAGCCATTTCTCCACGCCCCTACCTGTGTGTGTGTGTGTGTGTGTGTGCGCACACGCGCACACATGCATATAGAATGTCAGGAACAACTCTGTGAAGCCGGTTCTCTCCCTCTGCCCTTACATGGATTCTGGGGATCTAACAAACGGTTGGTGCAACAGGCACCTTTCCCCAGTGAGCCACGTTGCAGGCCCAAATTCCTCCCATGAGAAACAAATAAAAATGTGCCCTTTTCTGCCTACCACCCATTTCTTCCTCTTGCTTTTGTTCTCAGGCTTCTCAAAAGTTTTCTCCTTCCTGCCATCTCAGCTGCTCCCATCTCTTCCCCTCATCTGACTTTGTTTCCACCGTTCCCGAGTTTAGCCACAACCTCCTGATTCCTAAGCCCAGAAATGCCTTTCAGACACCTCTCTGTGGGACCACTCAGCAACTAACCCAGCTGACCACGCCCTCTCTACTGCTGTGACGTCACTTCCCCTAGGTCTTCTCCTCCCTGGCCACTCCTTCTCCGCTGGCCTCTTCCTGCTGTCCCTGAGTGGTGAGACGTATTCTCATGGCTGGATTTGTGTTACTGCCTCCCCGGCGTCTCCCTGGGGTTGGTATGTTTCTGAGCCCTAGGATGGCATGGCCAGATGACTGTGTTTTTCACAAAACAGCTGAGTGGGAGGCTGGGGCTAAGCACAGTCCCTGGCACAGGCAGGCACCCAGCAGGTGCTTGGTAAATGGGAAAAGTGGGACAAGAGCTGCCAGCCTGTCATTGCTCCACAGTTCTGTGTCAAGTGAACCATGCACACACATCTTAGGGCACCCCAGAGGGTACCCAAGAGAGCTCTTAGTTACTGGAACCCTCTATAACCCACTCCCTCACATTACTGACAAGGAAACTGAGACCCAGAAGGGTTAAGCACTTGCCTCCAGTTACACAGCATAAGTTAACATCAGAGAGATGGGGCGGGGCGTGGAGAGTGAACAGGAGCAGGAACCATGGAAGGGCACTCTTTGGTATTATCTCCCCAGGAGACAGCAGGATGGGCATAGTATGACCATGACAAACGTGAACACAGAGTCCAGGAGGTTCAAAGGCACAATGCCCTATGCAAATCTTACTCGATTGTTGTCTGATCCAACACACCGGTGACTGGGATCCCGTAAAACTGCTGCATAGTGGAGACTGCTGACTGTAAGGCCTTCCCTGAATGCAACGCCGATGCCCGTGAATCATACGGAAGCAGATAGCCGTAGGATTTTAACCAGTTCTGAAAGACATGTGAAGGAAAATGATGCGTTATGCCGGAGGAGGCTCCATTCCATGCGACAGAGATTTGCACTTAAAAGCGGGGATCATTTTACCTGAAGTACTTACAGACCCACACTCTGCTTTCGTCCTCCTCCATTTCGCCCTGCAGACACGGTCATATTAATCTCCAGAATATGGAATTCTGATGGGCTCACTCCCCCAATGTCAATCTCTCATCGGATATCTACTGGCTACAGAATGACTCTAACTCAGTATTCAGAGCTTTTCTCTGCCCTTTTTATTCATGAATTTGATGTTTCCCACTGACCCAAGCCTAATAGGCGAGAGCACAGGAACAGCTAATTCACTGAAGTAGAATAGCCCATAGAAACCTTCCCTTCTAAAACATATTGTGCCTAAAGTCAACCTGATATAGCATCACACTGCACCATATCTGTTGGCAAGAGAATATATATATATATAATGTTCATTGCTAAACCATCTCCCCACAAAGCAATCCATTATAAACAACTATACATAAGCAAAGCAACATATTCCATATATATAAATAATAAATGCATACAAAAATCTATTATGTAAGAGAAGTTCTTGCCTTTCAGAAATACACATTGAAGGCTTACATAAGAATGTGTGGTATCTGCAACTGGTGCTTAATGGGCTCCAAAATAAATGCATAAATATATTTTGAGAGAGAGAGAGAGAGAGAGAGAGAGAGAGAGAGATAGATGAAGTAAATGCAGTAAAATGCTAACAGATGGAGAGTTGGGTGAAGGGTTGTTGATTCTTTGTCCTGGTTCTGTCAACTTCCTGAAAGTCTTAGTTGATGTCAACAGTGTGTGTGTGCATATGCATACGTGTGTGTGTGTGTGTGTGTGTGTGTGTGTGTGTATTGAAACCAGGGCTTCTTGTATTTATCTACAGACTCAGCTCCCTCCAAAAATTAAACAACAACAATAAAAAGCAACCTAGCATAATATCTCTTGGTTACAGAGTGCCATGGAAGACTTCTTTTGTGCTTTTCTGTTTTCCAAGTTTTTTTTTTCATGGAGTCATTTTCTACAAGGGGAAAAATACCCGAGAATGTGACTTGGTGGTTGGGCTTTTAACTAGCAGCACAAAGACCCTGGGCTCAATCTCAAACACTACACAGAAAAAAAACGAGAGAGAGTAAAAGGGGCAAGAGACTAAAAGTCGTTTGAGTGAAGGTCAAGTGAACAGTGAGACCGCAGGATAGCAAGGTTAAGTAGCTTGCCCCATGCCAAAGGTGAGAGGGGATGGAAACCCAAAGAAATGAGAGCACCGAGGGTCCCTGTGTCATCTGCTGGAAAATGAGTGGAATTTTTACATTCTCAATGTGTCAGGAACACCCCCAAAGCCAGGCTTGCAGCCACAAAACCCAATTCCCTGTCCATCTTCAGAAGGTTATCCTGAGTACTGATGAGTGAGTGTAGGGGAGGCACCTTGTGAGATGGTATTCCCTTCTCCTGTGTGCCAGGTGGGCTTTGGACTTGTGTGTGGTAGTCAATGATGACTTTGAACTGTCTCATCCTCCTGCCTCCAATGTATGCTAGGACTACAGGCATTTGCTACTATGTCCAGTTTTATTGGGTGCTGGGGATCAAACCCAAAGTGTCATGCCTGCTGGGCAAGCACTCTACAACTGAACCCGAGAGCTTTTGGGTTTTGTTTCTATACAAACAACTTTATTGTGACTATGTCCCTTATTGTAAGTCAAATCAAACCACTTTCAGAAGGTATCTGCCAGAAACTACAAGTAAGTTATTCTTTATTTTTCACAAAAAATGACTATAACATCTTCACCGCCTTGTGATAAAACTGATTAAAAGCCAAATTGCCAGAATAATAGTCTTGGAACATCCGCAAAAGAGCGACAATTTTACTCCCCTCATATTCAGTGTCTAAAACATGTTTTGCCTTCAGAATGACGCTGCAGAGTATCAATACTCACAGTCCCCCAACACTGATTCTCTTTTATGCCTCTGCACATACATTGCTCTCTGCCGAGTATTCTTAGTTTGGCAAGAACCTTTCATATTTTAATGTTCAATCCATAAATTACTACCTCTGGAAGACTTCCCAGGCAAAGTGAGTTCTCTTGCCTTGGTGCTCACTAAACTCCTATTACAGATATTATGGGGCTCCAACCATTCCATATAATCCACCAGACTCTAAGCTCTTTGTGGGAAGGCTCCCTCCATCTCTATATATCCAGTGCCTGGGACAGAGTTGGACATGTTTAGTTGTTCATTATGTCCATTCAACAAACATTGAACACTTACTACATGCTAGGCACTGTGCAAGGTTTGGGGGTACAGTGATGACTAAGAAGTTCACAAACTGACAAGTGAATCTGTGATGAAGATATAGCATCATAAAACAGATGTGGAGAGGATTCTAAGGGAGAAGGGGAGCTGTCTTGTCCACAGGAAGCAGAGGGATAAAGAGAAAGGTGAGGTCATGGAAGACATCCAAGTGGAGATGAAATTTGGACTCTCCAGCAGAATGGGCGGTACAGTCTGAGAAATATGTAAAACTCACTGGAACTTTGGGTGAGAGTAGGTGAAGAGGTTGGAGGGAGGGAAATGAAGAGGAGTGGCATACAGTGATCTATTCTCAAAGTGGCCACACGACAAAGAATCACTTGGGAGTGGATCCTTGGCCCAGGACCAGCCATACAACTCAAACCCTGATAGGTGCAAATGTTGGGGAAGTGGCCAAGTCACTCAGCCATTCACCTGCTCTAACGTCTACTCCCAGGTTAAATTCTGTCATCAAAGCACTAAGTCCCTGTGCCATATTCTCTCTGCTAAGGAGCATGGAGCAGAGACAAGTGAACTCTCAACTTACTGCTCACCTCATCTCTACCATTCACTACCTCCTCTGCCTTCTCTAGGAAGAAGCCCCCAGTCACACTGAAGACACCGACTCCCAAACATTCTTTGTCCTTTAACATTCCCAGGCTCTTCCTGGTGGCCACAAACCCCATTCTCTTGATACATGGTAGCAAACTGCAAGGCCTACTTCCAATGTGCCCACTTTCATTCAACTTTCCTTTAAAAACCCTTGGTAGAGGTAGGTGGCCTTCTTTATTGCTGAAGTAACTTGTATACACTGCTAAATGTAGTTACTACAATGCATCACACCTGTTCACTGATTGTATCTGTTTTCTCCAACTACATTGAGTTCCTGGGGCATAGAGACTGTCATTTTCTTTAAACCCACTACAGTACTTAGCACAGTGTCTGATTTAATAATCACCAAGTTCATGAATGAGTAAATGAATGAACAGTTGGGCTGGGAGGCACTGTCTGAGCACCAAGGAAAGGAATTCATCTTGAGAAGGCTTAATAAGTAATGTAGGAAGTCATGCAGCATAAATCCTGGTATCTAGTAAAGGTAGAAAAAGTGTTTGCCGAAATGTATCAGTTATGCTTTGGCTTCCCATCTTTTTACACTGTGACCCATTAATCAATCGTCAGCCATGTCAGAAGTCTAACCTTGACAGCAGTTAACTAACTCCAAGATGTCTGACACCTTCTAAGTGCTGAAAGAGGTGTAAAACCCAGAGGAAAGTGAGAAGAATTGCAGGTACAGCCGACCGAAATAGCTGGGCTGAACTAACGATACAGACAGAACAGTGTGGTTGGTCTGCTGGCCACAGGGTGGGATTTCAGTCCCTGAGAAGTCAGAGCTGAATAATGAATGACAGGGAAAGAGGAACAGAGGATAAGGAGAGAGAGAGAGAAAATGTGGCCCTAACCTAAGAGAAAACAGAGCGGCAGACAGCAGAGGCGGTGGTGAGATTAGAAGTATCGATGGGGGTGGAAAGAGAAGATCACTGCTGAGGCTAAGGAGAACATTTAGAAAATCATGATGGCCTGGGCAGGAGAGAGAAGCTGGATCAATTACAACAGATGGTCCCTGGGGCATTGGAGAGCATCCCATCTACTGGGATGGTCCCTGGGGCATTCCAGAGCATCCCATCCACTGGGATGGTCCAGCTGAAGGAGAGACTTGGAAAGACGGTCAGGGGTCTGATCAGGAGTGAAGTGCCTGCTGGCATTGTCAGAAAGGCTGGTGGTAAAGTCTATCAAGAAGGACCAGACAATCTGGTGTCTGATTTGGAACTCTAGACTGGAATGAGGAAGAGAGAATCAAAGACTGTGATAAAAGAATCTGAGGTCTGGGAAGATAGGGCGGTTCATCAGTAAAGTGCAAGCAGGGGAAGCTGAGTTAGAATCCTAGAACCCAGTGCAAATGCTGGGTGGGGTGGTGCATGCTTCTAATCCCAGTACTGGGAAGGCAGACCCAGGCAGGTCTCCAGGGCTCTGTGGCCAACCAGTCTCGCCTAGTTGGCAAGCACCAGGCTAGTAAGAAACTGTCTTAAAAACCAACATAGATAGCTCCTAAGGAATGATACCCTAAGTTGGCCTCTGACCTCTATGCGCATATATGCACACATACACATACACACCTGCACACACACAAATACACACATACACACATACTATCTGGGCAATCAAATCCTTAACCTGGGTGCCAATGTGAGGAATGGCGACAAAGCACAGACCAGCATGAAGCGAGTTTCAGGTCCAGTCTCAGGGGTTTGTCTGTGGAGCAGGAGACAGTGCAACTCCCCAAAGAAAAGCAGGCAAACCAGGGACTGTGCTACAAGGATGCACGGGAGATGCTCAGGCTGGAGGAGAAGGGCTTCAAGGAGAATGAGACGTCATGAAGCAGAGCTGCCCTATGGGCGCAGAGTGCGGAATGACAGACTGCAGGACACAGAGCTACTTGACTCTGGAAGAAACAACTTTTTGGGGGGCGGAGATGATCCAATTACAATAATATCATAGATGTTATTATCAGGGTGCCAACTCTGCTTTGGCATTGCGCTCAGCACTCAGAAGGTAGCAGCCGATTAGGGAAGAATGGTCATTCCCAATTGCAGATGAGAAAATGGAGGTTTAGACAGAT